CACGGGGTCTGCTGCATTCTGGGGTGTGCGGGTGTGCAGTGGGCTGTTCCCTGCTGAGCGTCAGCCTGAGGTGTGAATTAACGTCTTCCCGGGTCTCTCCTGAGCCTTCGCTGGTCGTGCACGGTCCCTTCCTAATTTCCCTGAACACGCAGCTTCTTCGGCACGTCCTGGTCCTCACTGTCTGACTCCCCAAAGGGGAAAGTGGAACATGAGGGGCAGAGGACACCGGCCCTTTAAATCCTTGGAAACCACTTCAGGGGGAGGGGCAGGGGCAGAGCAGTCACAGCTGGGGTCCAGGGCCTGCATGGGGATCCCCACTAAGAGGGGAGAAGGTGCCTGCCTAACCAGCGTGGTGCCAAGGACATCGTGTGCCGGGGATCCAGGGCCTTCCCTCCAGGGGAGACAGGGTGCACAGAACAAACACCAGACCGGGTAGGCCCGGGGGGGGGGCAGCCATGCGGCAGGGTGGGGGACTGGGTGGCCCCACAAGGCAGGTGCCTGTGGGGAAGGGCAGCCCCTGGACAAGAGAGACTGACACGGTGGGCACCAGCCTGCCCTCCACCTGAGCTGCCCAGAGCCACCCCGTCCTCCTCCTGGAATCCCAGCCCTGCCCTCAGCTGGGCCCGGGGGAAGGGCAAAGGTCTCTGGGGTTGGCTGAAGGGCCCTGCCAACCCTCCCTCCTCCCCTGCCGGGCACGGAGCCGCTCCTGTGCCCTGGCTGTCCTGAGTGGTGCCGCTGGGTGGGCCCCTGCGCGGGGCGGAGTTTCTGGGTCACATAGTTACTCGATTTTTAATCCCTCGAAGGCGCGCTCTGCTGTCCGGCAGTGGCTGCTGTGTCCCAGGCCCTGGGAGCGCTGGGCCCTGTGTCTGCACATCCTGCGAACGGGCGTGTCTGGTGTTTAAAGCGTCTTCTTGTCTTTCCCCCTTGTTCCCATAGTTCTTGGGGTGTCTTGAGACCGTGTTGGAGCCTTTGTCTGGTCTGCCTGCTACCAAGTCTTTCTCGGGGACAGTTTCTGTTCATTTTTTTCTCTGCAAGTTCACGGTCCTGTGTGTTCCTCGGTGGGCCTTGACCGTTGGCTGACCGTGGGACATGGGACTGGAGCAGTGTGGTAACTCTGGAACTCAGACCCCCACGGGGTCTGCTGCATTCTGGGGTGTGCGGGTGTGCAGTGGGCTGTTCCCTGCTGAGCGTCAGCCTGAGGTGTGAATTAACGTCTTCCCGGGTCTCTCCTGAGCCTTCGCTGGTCGTGCACGGTCCCTTCCTAATTTCCCTGAACACGCAGCTTCTTCGGCACGTCCTGGTCCTCACTGTCTGACTCCCCAAAGGGGAAAGTGGAACATGAGGGGCAGAGGACACCGGCCCTTTAAATCCTTGGAAACCACTTCAGGGGGAGGGGCAGGGGCAGAGCAGTCACAGCTGGGGTCCAGGGCCTGCATGGGGATCCCCACTAAGAGGGGAGAAGGTGCCTGCCTAACCAGCGTGGTGCCAAGGACATCGTGTGCCGGGGATCCAGGGCCTTCCCTCCAGGGGAGATAGGGTGCACAGAACAAACACCAGACCGGGTAGGCCCGGGGGGGGGGCGGGCAGCCATGCGGCAGGGTGGGGGACTGGGTGGCCCCACAAGGCAGGTGCTTGTGGGGAAGGGCAGCCCCTGGACAAGAGAGACTGACACGGTGGGCACCAGCCTGCCCTCCACCTGAGCTGCCCAGAGCCACCCCGTCCTCCCTGAATCCCAGCCCTGCCCTCAGCTGGGCCCGGGGGAAGGGCAAAGGTCTCTGGGGTTGGGCTGAAGGGCCCTGCCAACCCTCCCTCCTCCCCTGCTGGGCCTTGGCCAAGGGGACACACCTGCTCTGCCTCGCTCAGCCCCACCTGCCTCAGGTGTCCAGGCGGCTCAGGCACGTCCCAGAAATGGGGAGGGGCCTGAGTCACCCCCCCGATTGCCCTGGAGAAGGTTGGACTGAGCTGGGCAGATGGGGGCACTGCTGATGGGGGAGCTGGGGAGGGGCCCGGAGGAAGCGGGGGGCCTGGGACCATCTGCCCTGAGCTGCAGGAGACGTCTCCCCGCCTGAGTGAGGCAGCAGCTTGGAGGCACCTGGGGCCCCTGTATTTGTGGGGTTGGAGCAGGAGTGGACATGGAGCCCCGGCCTGGCCCTCTCCCACCCGTCCTGGTACTGCAGGGCGTCCATCCACGCCAGCCCAGGCCTCCCGCCACCCCTTGGGCCTCGTGGGCTGTCCTGGGGGATCCTGGCCTGGAGGCTGGCCCCAGCACCTCAGTAGCTCAGCCCAGGCACCGTCTTCCCAGGCTTTCGTCTGGGTCACACCCAGTTGTCTTCTGAAGCAGGGCTTGGCCGGCCCCCCAGGGCCCCACAGTGCACGGTAGGTGCGGGGCCACACCCTGTCCCAGCTGCCCGCCTGCTGTGTCCTGCAGCATTGGCGGCTGAGCGGGTGACCTGGGGCGGCCACAGCCCCTCCGACGGGAGAGAAACCTTCGATTGCCCTGCCCGTGGCATCTTCCATCCCAGAATGGCTTTGCGGGCCCCTCGACCCACCGCTGTCCTGGCGCCCCGCCCTGGTGGCCAGGGGCGAGGCTGTGTCTCATCCGGTGCCTGTGTGGCCTCAGCCGCCCCTCCCGGCCAGCCACCGTGTCTGTGGCCCATCTTCCCTGTTCCTTTCTCTCGGTCCATATTTCCTCATTTCCTGTCGGGGCCGCACTTTCGCAAAGAGGGAGCTGGATACTGGGGCCCAAGGAGGGTGGCCTCATGCCCGCGGCCTGTGGGGCCCTGCAGAGGCTGCCGGGCCGCGTGGCGTGGAGTGCCCAGCGCCTGGTGGGGGCGGCACCACCAGGGGTGGGACCTGGGCGTCCTCTGCAGCCATGGAGCAGTTTGAGCGACACCAGAACCGAGGGAGACACAGAACAGAGGACGGGCTGTTCGGGCTGGAACCTCCGCTCGGTGCCTGCGTACCTGTGAGAGCTCGGTCTCGCGTGGGGTCTCCTGCCTGTGGCTGGTGCTTCCCCTGCCCCCTCGGACGCTCAGACCAGGGGTCTCCCCACTCAAAGCCCACTGCCCACCCCGGGTCTCCCACAAGCCCAGGCCCACCGTCTCACAGACCCCGACTTCTTGTCCCTTCCCAGACCTGTTACCACAGGGGTGGTGGCCTGTCCCTCGGTGCCCGGTGGCCGCCCTGGGCGGTGGACTCGGTGGCTGTCCCTCGGTGGCTTCCTGGGAGGGCCGCACAGACATCTGGGGCCCTGACACGCAGGCGTCTGTCCAGTCAGGGCTGCAGCAAGCCTGACCCCCAATCCTAGGAGTCGGGGAACAGTCCGTGGTCAAGGTGCCCCAGTGGGCAGGTTCTGTAGAGAATGAGAGGGGCCTCTGACTGGGGTGCGTGGAGTGGCCTCTGTGTGACATGTGAGCCAAGGCGAGCGGGGTGCGGCGGGAAGTCTCCCAAACAGAGAGGGGGTGCTGTCACCTCGTACGTGTGGCGGTGGCCTCCCGGTCACGGCTGCAGCCCCAGCGGCAGGGGCAGTGGGGACATGGTGGGGTGGGCGGGAGCCGGGAGTGGGCAGAAGGCCCCCGCTCCCCCACCCTCCTCCGCCCTCCAGGCATAACTCTTCTGAGTTGAGGGAAGGCTTTGGGGTCTCTGAGCTGCCCCCACTCTTGTAGGCCCTGGTGGGCACCCCTGATGCCAGCCAATCCCAGTTCAGGGAGGGTTAGGGCAGGGCCTCCTGTGTCCTCCGAGTCCCTGTGTGTGTGTGGGGGGGCGCGTCCCAGAGTCCCTTCCCACACTAGCCGCCCCCCCCCCAGACACCAGACACCCCGCTCTCCCCCCCCCCCCGGGAGGCAGGCCCCATGCCCACGGCCCCGCCCAGGGCCCGCGGATGACGCAGCTGTTTCCTCTGAAACTTCTCTATTCCGAGAGGCACTGGGAAGCTGTGTGGGGGCCGGTTACCTGCTCCCCTGGCCTATGGCCTCACGGACCCCTCTCAGCCGGGGTGGGGCCCGGGCCGAGTGGGCTGGGTGGACAGTGAGCACCCCGACCCCAGGACAGGCCCCTGCAGTTTCCTGTGACCCGCAGGGAGACCTGGGCCCAGTGTGGTGGGCGCCCCCAAGCCCGGGGCTGGTGGGTCCTTAGCTCAGGAACTAGGGGTGCTGCTGGCCCTGGCACCCCACACTCACGGAGCACAGCCACAGCTGCTCTCACACCGGTGCTGCGGCTGGGCCCAGGCGTCTGGTGTCTGCGGGGCCTCCTGACTTGTGGCGCTGGGGGGGCTCTGAAGGTCCCTGAAGGGAGGTGCAGGGCCCTTCCTCAGCAGGGCTGGGGGCTGCGTCATCCCAGAGGGACGTGCCCGCACAGACCCGGGGCGTCCACGCAGCCGACCCTCAGCCTGCAGACTCGGACCCTCTGGCCAGGCCACCGCAGGGCGGGTTCGACACGGCTCTCAGATGGGCAGAGGGGCCGGCGGGTGAGGGCTGGCCAGGGACTCCCCGCGAACCCCACTCATGCGTGGCCTCAGTGGGCATCTGATTTAAGCCTGTCTGGTCCAGAAGGTTCTGTGGGCTCCGGGCAGCAGTCAGCCCCTGCTCAGTGACTGCTGGGGTGTGCCGAACGGGAGAGCCCCCAGCATCGACTCGCCCAGGGTCCCCCCACGGTGTCCCCTCTGCTGCCAGCCAGCGTGAGAAAGCTCAGCCTACGGAAACGCGGGCCCCTCGTGCGGCTCATTTAGACTCAGGGGTCGTCAGCTTCCCCCGCGTCAGCTCCATCCACACACGCGTCTGTTCAGCCTTCTCCCGTAAACCAGACACAATCTGCCCCCCGTGTCGGCGTGACGGACAAGCCCAGGTCCTCGTCACGCCAGGCACGTGAGTGGCCATCGAGCGCTCGGTCCGTCCAGGGCAGCTGGGGTGTCTGGCTGGCCGCTGCTCCTCTGGGGGCCCAGGGCCCTGCCCCGTTCTCGGGCTCTGGCTCCTTCTGACCCGACTGTGGCCTTCTCCTTCCAGATCCCGACTGGGCCTCCTACACCCTGGGGGTGTTCATCTGCCTGAGCTGCTCCGCCATCCACCGCAACATCCCCCAGGTCAGCAAGGTCAAGTCCGTCCGCCTGGACACCTGGGAGCAGGCCCAAGTGGAGGTACGGCCCGGGTGGGGGGCACGCGGGTCCCACTGGGCCCAGCCCTGGCTGGTCCCTTCCTCCCTGTGCTCCAGGCCCCAGGGCTCGGCCTGGCGGGGACCGGAGGCTGGGAGGCCCTACCTGTCTGGTCGGTCTGGGGGACCCCTGCCTCCTTGGTGGGATCGCTGGAGAGAGGGCGAAGGCTCCCTCCCTGGCAGCTCTTGAGGCCTCTGTCCTGAGTCCGAATACCTGGGAAGCCGGCCCTCAGCCGTGCAGGGGTCAGGCCCTCCCACTAGCCCACCTTGACCCACGACTGTCGACCTCGCTGCAGGAGGGCTCGGGGTGGCTGGCCTGGGGAGGAGGACAGGCAGGGACCCCCAGGTGGGGTGTGGCGGGCAGAGGAGGGGCGGAGCAGGGGGTCTGACCCCATGGCGGCGGGAGCTGGAGGGGAGACCAGGCCTCGAAGCAGAGCCTGCTGGCTGCTTGGCCGGGGCTGCTGTGGGGACGGGGGTCCAGGGCTTGTGACCCCATGTGCACCCCCACCTGGGAGTAGCCAGTTGCTGCTGCCGCTGCAGCTCGGTGGCCGTGGCTTGGTCACCATGCGAAGTCCTGGCCCCAGGCCACCTGCCCCAGAGCCTGCACTTAACGAGGTCACTCTGGGCCGGGACTCCCCAGGGCTGCTGGACTCGTCCTGCTCAGTGGTCACACGGGGCGGCCGCCCTGGCCGGGTGTGAGGCCCAGGCTGGAAACCACACGGGCGGTGTGCCCGGTCGGGAAGGAGGGGTGAGCGACCCACTGGTTCTCTCTGCAAATGCTCGTGGGGTCTGCGGAGGCTGGGGCTGGGCCGTGGGGCCTGGGTGGGGCGGGGATGGGGGCCTGGGTGGGATGGGGACAGGGGCCTGCGTGTCCCTTGTGCGGCCCTCTGGATGGACAGAGTGGTCTCCTCTCCTCCCACTGTGACCGGGCAGTGAGCAGCCTGGCGGAGCGGTCACCTGTCCAGGTGGGGCTGGGGAAGGCCCAGCTCCTAGAGAGGACGGAGGTGCTGCACCCACCCCGGGAGGTTCGGGCCCCCCCACTCTGGCTCCTCTGCTGGGAAGGGAAGAGCCCGGCCCCTCGGGCCTTCCCTGGCGCGGTCCTGTCTCGAGCGAAATGGAGCGTCTAGTGCGCCATCCTCGTTAGTCCCTCTCCGGGGGCTTTTCCTTTCTGGGGCGCCTCACACTCGAGGACTTGCCCCTTCGAGGTGGGGGTGCATGGTTTCTGGGTTGCCTTTCGCTTTGCTGCTGAGGGTTTTGCAGTGGAAACTTTTCACTTTGATGTCGTCAAATTTATCAACCTCTTCTCTTGTGGTTTTAGGGTTTATCACGAACTCAGGCTTGCTCGGCCCCGGGGTTATTTCTTACTCATAGCAGCTTTGTTGAGATGTAGTTCACAGGCCCACAGCTCCCGGGGCTAGTTTCAGAGCATTTTCACGTCCGGAATGAACCTGGCGCCGCCCGCAGCCCTCCCCAGGGCCCCCCCCCCCCCCTGCCGGCCGTGCCTGGGGCGGAGCCACACAGCCGGCCTCGCAGCCTCCCTGCTCCCCCACGCGGTCCCGGCGCTGCAGCCAGGTCACACGGACACTGCGTCCGCCCCTCAGCTCACGGACACTGGACTGTTATGAATAACGTGTCTGAAGGTTCCTGGGCGGGCTTCTGGGGGCACGTCCCGCTGTGCAGACCGGAGTGGGCCTGTGGGGCCCTCTGCTGAGTCTCACACCCGAGGGTCCCCAGGTGTCTCCCACGGCCGCACTCGCCCACTCCCGATCCCCCGCAAACACCTCTCCGTCTGTCCACCGTCTGTCCACCGTCCGCGAGCGCGAGCTGGTGTGCGTTCTGCCTCAGTCTGCGTTCCTTGCTGACGGTATGGAGCGTCTTCCCATCGCTGTGGGTGTTGGCGAAGAACCTGTTCAGATCCTTCACCTCTTTAAAAACAGGAGTTGTCATTACAGAGAGTTCTGCGCTCTGGACACAAGTCCCATGTCACCCACGGTGTCTGAACTCTGCTTCTCTTTGTGGGCTGTCTCTTAACTTCCTTTTTCTTTAAAAAGAATTTTTTTTCTTTATTGGTTTTAGAGAGAGAGCAAGGGAGAGGGGGAGAGAGAGACACATCGACGAGAGAGAACATCGACCGGCCGCCTCCTGCACGCCCCCCACTGGGGATCGGGCCCTCAACCTGGGCAGGTGCCCTGACCAGGAATCGAACCGGCGACCTCTTGGTGCAGGGTCCACGCTCAACCACTGAGCCACACCGGCCGGGCCTGGCTTGTCTTCTGAGAATTGCAAGGAACACACAGAATAATGTGGACAGGTGTCTCTCTCCCACCCGACACGGCGGCGTCTCCGTCTAGGGTCTGCCGCGGCAGGAGCTGGTTGTCTGCGCGGACAGTGAACAGTCCCCGTCAGGCTGATTCTCGGGTGTTTTGCCAAAGAGTCGCCCACGGGCTCCCTCCTCCGGTACCTGCAGGCAGGTCGCCGTTGTGTGCGGAGCAGTTGGCGGTAGAATTCCAACGTGGTGGCCGCCTTCAGTGGAAATGTCTCGTTCATGGTTTTCTTCCAGTTACCCTCTTGGGTCCCCCACATTCAGGATTCGATGGTCCTCAGAGCATGGTGACTGTAGGGGGAGGGGCTCGTGTCGGGGGTCAGGAAGCAGAGCCACTAACACACCCTCGTCCTGGGGCCATGCGGTGAGGCACCTTGGTGGGGGCGCCCCGCACCCCCCCCCACGTCCCAGCCACAGGGCCCTTGCAGGTGCTGTTTCCTGTGCTTGGGACACCTGGAGAGCCTCCCCCACCGGTCCCCCTGACTCCTCTCCTTCCCGGAACACACTCCCCGTCTCTGCGGTCCTTGTCCCTCAGGGGCTGTCCGCTCCGCCTGGGCCGGGGTCCCTGCTCTGCAGCTGAGTGCAGGGCCCTCTCTGTGTCCGGGACACACTCCTGCCCCCTAAACGTGGGTCCCCTGAGTGAACAAGCCGGGCCCTGCAGGAGGCAGACATGGGCGTCTCTGGAGAGGGAGCAGCCTGCAGCCGGTGCGTCTTGGGGCGGCCACGGGGCTGGGAAGGAGCTCAGGCACCATCCCAAGGAGGCTCCCCTCGGCACCCCAGGACCCCTCTACCTCCTCACTCCAGACGGTGTCCCTGGGACAGGAGGGGTCGGGAGGCCCCTTCCCTTCGCGGCCTCAGTGCTCTGACCTGGTCTCTCTCGCAGTTCATGGCCTCCCACGGGAACAGCGCTGCCAGAGCCACGTACGAGCCCAAAGTGCCGTCTTTCTACTACCGGCCCACGGCCTCCGACTGCCTGTGAGTAACAGAGCGCCGTCAGGGTGGGGGGTGAGCAGCGCGGGGCATGGTCCGGGGGGGCCAGCGGGAAGGGCCGCGGCCGTGCCCAGAGCTCAGGGAAGCTGGGCCCGGGCCACAGGGGCAGCCCCGCTCGGTCTCCTCGCCAGCTTGGTTCTTGGCCCGGTGGGCGGTGCCCGGGGACCCCAGGACCGAGTGCAGCCGGGGGCTCCGGTGCCCGAGATGCTGCGCGCTCACCTGGCTCAGGGCATGGCCGTGGGTGTGGGGACCTCCCGTCCCTCTGTGTCCCTGGGGGCCACTGCCCCCAGCCTGGCTCCAGCCCAGCCCTCTGAGCACCCCCTTCTGTCCTACGGAGTGCCTGTCCCCGTGCCCCCGTCCCCCGGCATTGGCCTGGCTGTGTTCCCGGCGCCCTTGGGCCTGGCTGCCTTTTGTTGTCTCTCCTGAGGTTGCTCCTTCTCTGGCCACTCAGAGCCGGGAACACTCAGCACTTCCTTCTCGGGTCCTGTGGGCTGGGGCTCCTCCGGGGGGGTGGCCCTCGGACTCTCTGCCCAGCACCCAGCACCCAGCACCGGGTGGGCCACCCGTGGGTTCTGGAAGTCGGGTGAGTGTGAGGGCCCATGGACCCAGGTTCTCAGGGAGGGGCCGGGAATCTGCCATCTCCTGACCGGCTGTGAGGAGGCCCGCCCGTCGCAGGGCCCTGGGGACCGGGCCCTCCTCCCTCAGCCTCAGCCACGGGCTCCCCCATCCCGGCACCTCAAACCCAGAATGAGCCCCGCCCAGGATGCTGGGTCCCTCTTTGCTCTTGGGCAGGACTGGCCCTGAGGGATCACTCAGACCCACCCCAAGGATGTCCCCCTGCTGGGGCGTCCGAGCCCAGTCGAATGGTTCTTAGGACCAGGCCATGAACCCCTGTTTGGCCGAGGAAATGAGGCCCAGAGGGACTGGCTGTCCCCATGGAGACGAAGGGCCCAGCGGAGGAGCTGAGGCCAGGCCGGGATGTCATCTCCACGCTGTGAATTCCCGCTCGGCCCACCCAGGCCAGCGATGCGAACCCGGCTCCTCCCGCAACACCTCGGCTCCTGTGTGCTCCCCAGGGGCCAGGCGGGGCCAGTGCTGCTTCTGTGTCTGCGTTTTTGGGGAGTGTGGACGGTGGGCATGGGGCCCTCAGCCCACACCTGGCTCTGGGGGAGTTCTGGGCGGTGTGTCCAGACACTGGGGACCCCCATCGTGGATGACACCTCCCAGGACCAGCCCAGAGCGCCGCTGGGCAGGTGTGTCTTCCAAGGGCGCTCGGCCACTTCTGGGCTCCCAGGGAAACGGGGGCCCCGGGCCTGCAGGTTTCAGGATGAATCAGCGGCCTGGCAGCCACTCTGAGATGTGATGATGTCACCCCCGCCACAGGCTGCTCTGTTGGGGGTCAGTCATTTGCCTGGTGCCCTGTACCTCCTGCCATCGGAGCCCGTGACGAGGGGCCGACTGGCCCTCAGCGTGTGTCCTTGCTGGGATGCTCAGCAGGGCCCCGGTCCCTGTGACCGGCCCCTCAGGGGTGTGTGGTCAGGGCCTCCCCAGGGGACCGGCATCCCGGGAAGCGTGCTCTGATGTCCAGGCGGGGGTGGCTTTCCGGAAGCCTCCACCAGGTGAAGGTTCTCGGGAACCACGCCTGACACGTCCACACACGCAGTAGGTGCTCAGGTCTGCCAGGCCCTGAAGGGCACAGATGCTGAGATGAGGGGAGTCTCAGGGAAGCCCCTCGATGGGCTGGTAGCAACAGGGAGACCTGACCAGGGAGGTGTGGGGGTGATACACCACGCTCACTGTGGTGTGCTCTGCAGTGGCCGAGATGGGGTACACATGCCTGTGTACACAGGGGAGGGCCCTGGGGGGCGGTGTGCGTGCAGCCCGTGTGCGCTGGAGAGGACCGTGGGGTAACCCTGGTTTGCACCCTGACCAGGGCTCGTGCAGGGCAGCCTGGCAGTTGCCTCCAGGAGGCAGAGGCCCTGAGGCCTCCCCAGCTATAAAGTGGGGTGGGTGCCACCTGCCACCAGGCTGTCATGGGGATGAAATGAGGTGCCATGAGGCGTGCGGCCCAGAGTGAGTTCTCTGGGCACAGGGTCCCTCCGCCCCTCGTGTCTGAGGCTGAGCCCCGTGAGCTGGAGTCCGGAGGAGGCCCGGGAGCTCAGAGGGTCCAGCCACATGGTCGTTCTTGGCAGCTGGCTGGTGACGCGGGCAGGACCCAGTGCCTTCCTGTCACCGCCCAGGCCGCCAGGTCCTACCTGACAGTTACCTCGGTCCTCTGGGCTCACCTGGTGGCAGCCGCCTCCCGTGTGACAGGCACGCGGGCCCTGAGCAGCCCACTTCCTGGCAGCTGGGGCCTGTGGGTGCCCCTCTCCCCCGAATCCCAGAAGTTCTTGAGCCCACAGTCTTCCCAGGCCCCAGCTGAGAGGTGCTGTGCTCGCTTCCTGGGGCCTGGGGGACAAAGCCCGCAGACCAGCAGCTTGACGGGCGGTCACTTCTCGGTCCTGGAGGCTGCCGGGCAGGGCGTGCGGGTCCTCCTGAGGCCAGTCTCCTGGCCTGCAGACAGCACCTTCCGTGGCCTCACGTGGCCGGCCCCGTGTGTCTGTGTCCAGAGTGCCCCTTTATCCGGGCCCACCCTACTCCAGGGTGATCTTGTCTTAATTTAACAAAAAATTTTTTTTGTTATTGATATTTTACAGAGGGAGAGAGAGACAGAAACATCGATGAGAGAGAACATCGACTGGCCGCCTCCTGCACGCCCCCGACTGGGGATCGGGCCCACAACCTGGGCATGTGCCCTGACCGGGAATCGGACTGGCGACCTCTTGGTGCAGGGTCGACGCTCAACCACTGAGCCACACCGGCCGGGTGACCTTGTCTTAATTTACTAATCTGTGACGTTCCTGCTTCCAGATAGGACTTTCCTGACCTCCGGCAGGGTGTCCTGAGACACGGGGGTGGGGTGGGGAGGGCGTTCAGGACCGGCGGTCAGCCCCAGAGTCAGCGTGTGTCCACAGCATGTCAGCAGGGCCCCGCCCCCCACCGGCCACCCTGTCTCCAGCTCCCGGTCTGAGTTCTGGGTGGAGGTGACCTGTCTTGACCCCGAGAGCCCCGCTGGCAGGGGGATGCTACCCGCCACCCTGATGACAGGACGATGCTGGGGAGTCTCCAGGTCACCATCAGTGGGGGTGGGGGTGCGTCATGGGCACCCCAGCCCCACCCCCAGTCAGTGTGGGCCCAGGTGGTCTGGAGGTCAGGGCCCTGTGCCATGGCAGGGCCAGCCCAGGCACCTGTCTCGGGCACTGGTGATGGGGTGCACTGGTACCCCACAGTGACCCAGGGTCAGGACCGCTCTCTAAACCTGGTGGAGACTACCACACCCCGGTGCCTGCTTCCGGGCCTTCCTCCTGTGGCTGCTTCTAGAAGCTTCTGTGCTAGGCCTGAGGAGGCCCTCATGTTACAGATGAGAACCTGGGTGCAGGAGGGGAGCTGATCCCTGTAGGGGGCTGGGTGGTATCCCCCAAAACAGGTCATGTCCTCACTGGTCAGGGCCTTGGCTAGTGAAGTGAAGGGTCTCAAACAAGGTCCCGGGGTTTGGGGGGCGGGAGTCCATTCTGGCGTCCCCACAGGAAGTGAGATGGGTCGCAGAGCTGGGCCCGGAGGCGGAGTGGAGGTGTGGGCGCAGACCGAGGTGCCCCGTGCGGGGTGCTTTGTGACCACAGCCCAGGACACTCGGGCACAGCCCGGGGTGGGCGCCCCAGAGCCCCAGCCGAGGTTGGGGAGCTGCAGCTGGGGCTGATCCAACTTTGTGGCTGACCGCACAGGCCGGGGTGAAGCCCGGGTTTCCTGTCTGTTCGTGGGGCATTGACTGGAAATGACAAGGTCGCCCTGCACCGGGGAGCTTGCCGAGGCCATGCCCACACCCTACTGGGCCACGCCCCTGGGCTGTGGGGCCGAGATGGACGGCCTCTTCCGAGGTGCAGTCTCCTCCGCGGTGTTTACGTCTGCGTGGGTCAGACGCAGAAACGGAGGCTGCAGTGCTCTCTGGGGCTGGAGGGTCTTGGCTCAGAGACCAGCCAGCAGGGGTGGGGCCGGCAGGGAGTGGGGAGCCGATGGAGGTGGGAGTGGGGGGTTGAGGGCGCAGCTGCCTTGTGTCCATCCGTCAGGCTGTGTGGCAGGCGGGGTCACCCTTTAAGGAGGGTGGGTCCCCTCAGAGGTGTACTGCCCTCCGGTGGCGGGGCTGGGAGGACTGGGGGGCACAGGGCGGTCTCTGCCTTCCCTCCGAGACCTCTGAGCTGAGGGCCTGGGGTGGGGCTCACTGTGGGCGGGGCTGGGTACTGGCCCTTCGTCTCTGAGTCCAGCGTCTCTCGTGACAGAGGTTTGTATTAAAAGGAGGTGTTGGCAGGCCAGTGTGGCTCCATGGTGGAGCCCCAACCCTGCACCAGGAGGTCGCCAGTCCGATTCCCAGTCAGGGCACATACGCAGATTGTGGGCCTGATCCCCAGTGGGGGGCGTGCAGGAGCGTCCAGTCGATGTTCTCTCTCCTCCATGTTTCCATCTCTGTCTCCCTCTCCCTTCCTCTCTCTCTCACATCAATAAGGAGGCGTCGGGCTGGAGAAGCCTGTGCCCTGGATGGGTCTGAACACAGGCGTGGGAGAGGAAGCTGGTTACATTGTTGCCAGCACAGAATCCAGAGGGGACCTGGATCTGGGGTGGGGAGCGGGCAGGGGATACATTGTTGCCAGCACAGAATCCAGAGGGGACCTGGATCTGGGGCGGGGAGCGGGCAGGGGAAGGCGCTGTGAGCCGCTGGCTGGACACCGGGTGGAGCTGATGGTGTGTGAATTAGACCTCGGCTTCTTGGAAAGGGGAGGTATTCGTGACAACACTGATCAGCGCCCGGCGGTGTGGCTCAGTGGCTGAGCGTTGACCCTGCTGCTCAGGGCACATGCCCGGGCTGTGGGCCGACCCCTGCCTGCCGGGCTCACAGGCCACTCGGCCCCTCTGCTCTGTCCCAGCCTCCTGAGGGAACAGTGGATCCGTGCCAAGTACGAGCGGCAGGAGTTCACCGACCTGGAGAAGCAGGAGCCCTACTCCGCAGGTGAGGACTCCGACGGGGGCGGGCTTGTCTGAACGAGTCTGCCGCTTGGCCTCCTGGCCTCGAGCTGGGGAGTCCCTGCTCCACACAGCCCGGCCGACTGCAGGGTGCGTGCAGGGCCCACGGGCTGGCGCGGGGGCACGCCCCTGCTCTGGGGTGGCCTTCAGGGTGAGCAGGTCCTGGGAGGGAGGGGCAGGGGCAGAGAGGAGGCGTTGGGGAGGTACCACCAAGCTGGGGTGCCCAGCACCCTGAGGCTGTCAGCACCCTGGGTCTGTGCTGCCTGTCGTGGGCCCCAGGGTGTGAGGGGCACCATCTCCTTGCCCCAGTGGTCCTTCCGTGCTGCTGCCTGAGGCGATAACTGGTTCCCACGTCCCGTCTGGTCGTGAGGCTGGGAGTGAGGCCCTGTGTGGCCAGGACGCCTGCACAGCGGGCACTGCGGGCCCCGCCCTCCAGTTCCCCACCCTGACACGCGACCACTGTGTAGCCTTGATCCATGGCCACCCACGCAACACAGCCCTCCTCTGCTGACGACCCCTAACGGGGGCTGTAGGGGGTGCACAGGGGTTTTTGTGCCTGTTTGGCTCCCAAGACCCTCCCACACTCCGTCGCGGCCTGAGCCCATCTGCTTGCTCTGAACCCTGGGCAGGCTCGTCCGGAGTGCCTTTGTCTCCCAGTGTTGGCCTCTTAGCAGTCGGTGACCATGTAGCGTGTGGCCTCACTTCAGAGGTGGGTGCGGCTGGGCCAGCAGAACCATGGCCCTGCATTGAGTTTTCACGTTGGGATGCTTTGGTTGTGAGCGACATAAATCGAACTTGGGCATGAGAAATAGGAAATGTCCTGACATAGTAGAGCTGCCTTCAGGCACAGCTTGATCCAGGGGTCAGTGTTGCCAGCCTTGGCTTCAGTGTCTCCGCCGTTCGGTTCTGCCTCCCTGGGATGGCACTGGCCCTCCGGGTGGTGTCTGCGCGCCCACAGGCCCAGGCTCTGCCCCTGTCATTCGGGTCCTGTGAGAAAAGGGCTGAGTGATTGTCCCAGAGTGTGAGGAAGTCTCGTCTCCGGTTCCGACGGGCAGGGGTGGGCATGTGACCCTGTCTTGACGTGATGTAGCCTTGGGGACCAGGAGCGGGTCTCACGAGGGGAACGTCTGGGTTCCAGAGGCGGGTGAGCGCACAGGGCACACACCCCTCCGTCTCGTCCCTTTCGGGTGCTGGGAGGTGGGGGGCTGCTTTGCGCTGTGTCTGGGTGTCATCTGTAGGTCTGGGGCCAGGTCTGTCCCTCTGCCTCAGGCCCCAGCTGGGGAGGTGGTGACCGCAGAGGGAGGCGGGGGCCTGGGCTCCCCAGCGAGCAGCGGTCACCTTGGAGGGCCTCCTCCGCCCGTGCTCCCAGCACCTCTGCAGGCCCTGGGCGAAGCCCTTCCTCCCCCCCTCGCCTCGTTCCTATAAAGCTGTCGTCCCAGGATGGTAATGCCGCCCCCCCTCAGGCCCTGTTCCCTCCTCAGCGGTCCCCCCAGTGCCCTTGGGTCTGTGGGTGGGGCCACCTCCCCTCCTGTCACCCCACCACACGCCCTGCTCGGGTCTCCTCCCAGGATGGCAGCCGCCCCAGGGACACGTAGCTCTGCACAGCCCCGGGCGCCCAGCACTCTGCTGGGATGGGGGGGCAGCCCAGCACCTCCAAACGCCCTCCCCTCCCCCAGCGCCAGTGTCCAGGCTGGGAGGGCAGATGGAGAGGGGCTGGTGACTCCTGACCCTGTCCAGCCCCGAGGTCATCCTCGAGGGCCCCTCCCACCTGAGGAGCATGGGGTTCCCATGCACCTCCTGCCCAGCCCCCCCCCGGCCCCCCTGGTTTGCTGAAGAGCACTCTCCGCCACCCACGAGTGCAGAGGCCCCGAGCAGAAGGGAATGCAGGAAAAGGTGGGCTCCCAAGTCCAGGTGAGCCTGGCCCTCCCCACCCCAGGAGCCTGCCACTCAGCTCTGCTGGTGTCCCCAGGGTGCTGGAGTGGGGGCGATGGGTCAGCGCCGCCCAGCACCCGCCGGGGCCTCACTGGCCAGTTCCCAGGCTGGGTGTCCAGAGTGGCTTCCGGTGACCAAAGCCGGACATTTGACCAAGGAGATGAATAATGACATGGCCTCGTGAATCCCAAGGTCCCCGCGGACGTAAACAGAGAACAAACCAGGCAGTAAGTGAAGGGAGAAGGGACAGACCTTCTTACAGAACCGCGGACGGACGCGGAGGAATGTGGGTGTGGGGACCGTCCAGGAGCTGCCGAGCCCTGGTCGACAAGACATCTGTGGGCCCTGGCCCCCAAGGGCGTGGTCCCGAGACTGAAGAGGGCAAAGGGAAAGGTACCGACTTCCCAGCAGACCCCCTTCCCCGTGTGACCGGCTGGTCACCACCACGGACGCGACAGCATACAGTAGAGACATGTAACCCGGCCTCAGTCATGAGGGCGTCAAACTCTCTGAGGGACGCTGGACAGATGCCTGGCCAGCAGCCTTCAAGAGCAGTGAGGTTGTGAGACGCCGGCCAGAGGGAGAACCTGGGGGTGCAGGGGGTGCTGGAGGCAGCCCGGGCGAGGGCACCTCAGTGGCCCCTCTGTGAACAGGACGAGAGTTCTGTCGGCCGGGCTTTGGTGACGGGCCCTGGGTGTGCTGCCGATGCTGAGGGCCGGGGAGCACGGGGCCACCCTGCCTCCCTCTCCCCACTGCACTGGAGACAGGGCTGCTGTCAGGGAGCGAGGGGTGTGGCAAGGACGCAGGTTCCAGGTGGACCCGGACGGGCAGGTGCCAGCCTGGCACTCCCCACTGCTTGGCCTCGGCCAAGGTCATGGGCGTGTGGGCGGTCCCTGGGCCAGGCTCCCCAAGGCCCCAGCTGCCCCTGGCCCCTCCCACACCGCCGCCTGCAGCCAGAGCCTCAATGGCAGCCTTTCACGGGTGGACAATGACCCCCGTTGTCCAGAGGCCCAGGCGCCCAGCTGCCCCCCATCACCAACAGACACAGCACTTCCCACCGAGGCTCTGGACCCCTGCTGCTCCCCTGGGCGTTCACCCCGGCTCCCTGCCTCCTTCCTGCCCCCCTGAGCTGCAGGCTGTTCCAACAGGAGGTCAGGGCTGCTGCCCCACCCCCACCCCCACCCCCACCCCGGATGTCACAGGGAGCCCTCAGGGGCCGGTGGAGCCAAGTCTGCCCCAGGGAATACCAGACCTGCCCTGTGCCTCAGTTTCCCTGTCTGCATAGTCGGGGCACGGTGCCCAGTCAGGCAGTGGTTGGAAGCGTTGAGTGATGTTGGGGGTCAGCAGCACCTCCAGGGTTGCTGGTGGGGGTCGAGTCAAGCGATGTGTTTGTGAAGTTCAGCTGAGAGGCAGATGGGCCCGGGTGGGCCTGGCACCGGGGGGGGGGGGCCCAGGGCAGTGGGTGTGGGTACGGGTGGCCCGGCACCGAAGGGGTTGGGGGAACACGCGAGGGGCAGTGGGTGTGGGTACGGGTGGGCCGGCACCGGGGGGCCCAGGGCAGTGGGCGTGGGTACGGGTGGCCTGGCACCGGGGGGCCCAGGGCAGTGGGTGTGGGTACGGTGGGTCGGCACTTGGGGGGGCCCAGGGCAGTGGGTGCGGGTACGGTGGGTCGGCACTTGGGGGGGCCCAGGGCAGTGGGTGCGGTACGGTGGGCCGGCACTTGGGGGAGCCCAGGGCAGTGGGTGCGGGTACGGTGGGTCGGCACTTGGGGGAGCCCAGGGCAGTGGGTGCGGGTACGGTGGGTCGGCACTTGGGGGGGCCCAGGGCAGTGGGTGCGGGTACGGTGGGTCGGCACTTGGGGGGGCCCAGGGCAGTGGGTGCGGGTACGGGTGGCCCGGCACCGGGGGGCCCAGGGCAGTGGGTGCGGGTACGGTGGGTCGACACTTGGGGGGGCCCAGGGCAGTGGGTGCGGGTACGGGGGGTCGGCACTTGGGGGGGCCCAGGGCAGTGGGTGCGGGTATGGGTGGGTCGGCACTTGGGGGGGCCCAGGGCAGTGGGTGTGGGTACGGTGGGTCGGCACTTGGGGGGGCCCAGGGCAGTGGGTGTGGGTACGGTGGGTCGGCACTTGGGGGGGCCCAGGGCAGTGGGTGCGGGTACGGGTGGCCTGGCACAGAGTAGCCACGGGCACACTGCAGGGGTTCAGTGAGTGCTGAGGGAGCCACCTGGCCTCTGCCCCGATGCCAGCCTTCCGAGCGACCTGTCACAGCTGGGCTCCAGGTGTGTGCAGAAGGCACCCCAGGCACTGTCCACGGTGTGCAGCTTGGCCAGGCTCCTCTCGTGGGCTCAACCCACAGCTGGGGAGCCGAGCAGCAGACCTCAGGCTGGGCTGCGTCTGGGCACCACCTGGGCTGCACAAAGCCAGGCCTGGAGCCCGCAGGGTCCGGGCACGGTGGGTCGGCACCGCCGTCCCATGCCCCGGGGGCTGAGGTCGAGAGATGAGTGGCGTCAGGACAAGGGCCAAACTGCTGTCCAGTGCTGGGGCCGAGTCAGGGACCCTGGCCAGCGCCCACCAGAAAATGCTGCTGCTGTGTCTCGGGGCCTGAAATTAGGTGACCGGGCGGCTGGCTGGCGGGAAGCACTCGGCTGGTGAGCCAGACAGGCTGGGGCAAGCCTTCCTCCGGCCCTCGGCCCTCAGTTCACATCTGGCCTGGGGACGTGTTAGACCTGACTGGTGAGTGTGGGGTCACAGCGGCCTTCCCCTCCCCCAGCCCAGCCGTCCTGCGCGACCTGGGCTCTGCTGCCACCTGCTGGGCGTCGTGGGCAGGGCAGCCGTGCAAGGCTCCAGGCCTGTGACCTCTGGCTGCCCGCCAGGGTCCTCTGGCTCCTGCTTGTGACCAGGCGCATCTCTGAGCTTGTTTCCTCGTCTGTACACTGGGGACTGTGAGGTGAGGCGTGTCAGGTGCTGGGGGGCCGTCCCGGGCAGTGCTCAGGGTTACGGCAGACACCTTCCTGACAGATGGTGTTACTCTGGCCTGTGCCAAGAGGCTGCGCCCCGAGCACTTGACCCAAAGGCCTGAGGACTTTTCCCTGGGCCGAGGGCCCCTTTGGTCAGTCAACAAACACTTGGGTGGGGCCCCGTCTGGGCTTGGAGTGTGGATGGAGCAGAGATGCCCGCTGGCCTTGCAGGGGCCAGGGGCACAGCAGCCGTCCGTCGGCTCTGGGTGCGAGGGCCCCTCGCGTTGTGGGGAGGGAGCAGCCCGTCTGTCCTAAGCAGTGACAGCGTCTGCTCGTGACACCCGGCTGGCACCCTTCATGGCCCCTGTCTCTGGTGCTGGGAGGGGCTGCCTGGGCAGCGGTTGGGGGGTTGGGGGCTGAGATACCAGCCTTGACATCGGGGTCTGGAGGCTGCTGAACCAGATGGGCAACGGCCGCCCCCCACGCGGGCACGGCAGCACCCAGTCCAGACCCCTGCTCCCCGCACGGACCAGCCCTCGCCCGGGCGCTGGCTCTGAGGTCACAGCGAAGTGGAGGGGCTGCCCCGGGCAGTTCCCGTGGAGCCCACCGCCCTGGGTGACCCCTGGTTCCCCCCCGAGTGTGCCCGTGGAAGTCACGCAAGCATAGCTGGGCCGCTCGCAATGTCCCCTGGGCCTGTCAGTGCCACAGTGTCCACGGGCAGTCGCGGTAACAGGAGCAAACCTCTGCCCGGACAGCGCAGTGGGACCCTCCTGGCCGGGCCCCTTGCAGCGAAGGGAGGGGCTGGCTGGGTGCCGTCTGCCCCGTGGGAACCCCGGCAAACTGCCTTCTGAGGAATAAACCCTCGGCAGCCCTGGGGTGGGGTCTGGGGCGCACCAGGTGTGGGCGGGCGGGCTCCTCGGCCCTCCGTCTCCGGGTGGGGCGTCCTTGGTGGCGGCCACGCTGCACCGGCGTCTGGCCGCTTCTCTCTCTGCCTCCCTCTCGTGAGGACCCTGTGGGGACCTTGGCCACGTGCCAGGGGCACAGGGACTCCCGGACCTCCGCTCCTCCCAAGGCCTTTCGTCACGGCGGCCGAGTCCCGTTGAGCCAGGTGCCCGTGGCCCAGGGTAGACACCTTGGCTCTGCGTCTGCCCCCGCAGGGGAGTCGCACAGGTGTGTCCTCACGGAACCGCCCACGGTCTGTGACAGGCACGGTTCTGTGTGCTTGTCACGCTCCAGGAGGAAAAGACCACTGGGCAGTGGGCCAGTGTGGGCAGCTGGGGTCCCAGTGCCCGGGGGCAGGTCTGGCCTGGCCTCGGTGGCTGCTGGGCTCTGGGCAGACGGGCCAGGGCGGCCTCAGACTCCCGGTACCTGTAGGGGCTGATGGGTCCCCTGGGGACTGGAGTCCACCTGGCCCGTGTGACTGCCTGACCCACGTCCCCTCCCCCCAGGATACCGAGAGGGTTTTCTCTGGAAGCGTGGCCGGGACAACGGGCAGTTCTTAAGCCGGAAGTTCGTGCTGACTGAACGAGAGGGAGCCCTGAAGTATTTCAACAGAAATGATGTGAGTGGGGGTGGGAGGTGTCCACCCCAGGACAGCATCCTGGCCTCCCTTTGGGGCCCTGTGAAGGCTGGACAGTGCCCCTGGGCAGCAGCACCAGGTCCTCCGCTGCCCTCGTGCGGTTCTAGGGACCCACACTTCCTTCGGGACGTGCCCCACCCCAGGGCACCCTTCCCTGGTGGGCACGCCCAGGACACTTGGAGTGGGCCAGCACATGGCCCTGGGCCCCCAAGCGGCATGTGAGGAGGTGGGAGGGTCCCCAGGCCCTGCCGCTGGCAGAGCCACACCCAGACCGGCCCCAGGTCAGAGCACCCCCACAGCGCAGATAACCATGGGCAGTTCGTGGCCACAGCCTCCCCCCCAGCCACAGTGCGAGGACGGGAAGGAGGCAGGGCGAGGGCCTGACACTGGGTGGGTCCAAGGCAGACACGAGCCCTCGTGCTGCAGGGGCAGAGGGGGTCTGCCCATCGCCACCCCTGCAAGGGGGCTGCTCTTCCTGTAGACTTACCAGGAAAGCCAGGCCCAGAGGTACCCCGCTGAAAACCACACAGCTGCAGCCGGCACCCCAGAGCCCACCCTGCCTGCTTCCTGGGGTTCGGAGACTCCTCTGCCTCCCTGGCACTAAGGCCTGGTCTTGCTTCCCAGGCCAAGGAGCCCAAGGCCGTCATGAAGATCGAGCATCTGAACGCCACCTTTCAGCCGGGCAAGATCGGCCACCCCCACGGCCTGCAGGTCACCTACCTGAAGGACAACAGCACCCGCAACATCTTCATCTACCACGAGGACGGAAAGGTGGGCACGCGGGCTGGGCGTGGGCGTGTGCGTGTCCCTTCGCTCTGTGGACGTGGTGTGTGAGATGCTGCGTCGAGCCGTCCTTGCATTCCGGGACTGAACCCCACCCCACTCGGCCACGCCACAGTCCTCCGGGTGCGGCGGAGCTGTCTGCTAGCGTCTGCTGAGGGTTTGTGCAGTGGTGTCCATCAGGGACTGACCTGCCGTGGCTCCTTGTCTGGCTTTGGTGTCTGGGTGATGCTGGTCTCACAGGTGAGGTAGGATGTGTCCCCTCTTTCATTTTTTGGGAATGTCTCAGATGGATCGGCAGTTCTTGTTCAAGTGCTCAGTGCACTTCACCAGCGAGGCCAGGAGGCTGGGGGCTTCGCTTGGTCGGGAGATTTTTGCTGACTGGTCCAGCCTTCGCCCTGGTTACAGGTCGCCTGTGTCTTGGTGACTTAGTCTTGGTAGGTTTTGCGTTTCTAGGAATTGCTGTCTCATCTAGGTCACCCATGTCGGGGGTGTACACTTATTCACAGTACGTGCTTACAATCCTTTTCGTTCCCGTGGGACTGGTAGGGACGTCGTCCCCACTGCCGTTTCTCTGGACCGCAGGTCAACGCTCTAACCGCTGAGCCAAACCGGCCAGGGCCCCACTGCCGTTTCTGACGTCAGCATTTGCGTCTTCTCTCGGTCCGTCTAGATGGAGACTTACTGTTTCGGGGGTCCATCTCTGTGGACAACTCGAGGCCTTTATTTATTCTCTCCCTACTCGATTCCCCGTCTCTGCTCGAACCGTGACTGTTCGTCCCTCTGCTGCTTTGGTTGGAGCTGGTTCCGCGCCAGTTCCTCCGGCTGAGTGGGCGCCTTCCCTCCTGCTCAGCGTCGGCGCCCCCTGCTGTTACAGCCCAGAAGCCGTGTTCCGTTTCCTGGGGGCTCCAAGTGTTTTCTCCTTTCCCTGTGACTGCTCCTTCGACCTGTTGGCCGATTTCCTCAAGTCTGCGAATTCACCAGTTTTCTTGGTTTATTGTCATGACTCCATCCATTGTGGTCACAGAAGATACTTTGTACAGTATTTGTCTTTTAAAATCATGCCCTGGTGCCCTGGCCGGTTTGGCTCAGCGGTTAGAGCATTGGCCTGCGGTCCAGAGACCTGGGTTCGGTTCCCACTAAGGGCATGTACCTCGGTTGCAGTGTGTCCCCGGCCCTGGTTGGTTGTGTGGGTGGCAGCCACTCGATGTGTCCCTTTCACGTTGATGTTTTTCTCTCTCTCTCTCTCTCTCTTCCATTCTACCTGAACAACAACAAAAATAAATAAAAATTAAAAAATAAAATAAAATCATGCCCTGGCCCTGGCCGGCTTGGCTCAGCGGTTGGAGCATCGGCTTGCAGACCAGAGAGTCCCGGGTTCAGTTCCCGCTAGGGGCACGTACCAAAAATAAAATAAAATCATGCTCTGGCCAGTTGCTCAGTGGTTAGAGCGTTGGCCTGAGGACCCAAAGGGTCTCGGGTTTGATTCTGGTCAAGGGCATGTGCCTGGGTTGCAGGTTTGGTCCTGGCCCCGGCTGGGGTTGTGTGGGCAGCCAGTCAATGTCTCCCCCTCATTGATTCTTCCCTCCCTCCCTTCCACTCTATCTAATATCAATGGAAAAATATCCTCTGGTGAGGATGAAAAAAATAAATCACTTTGGCAGGAAGGGCAGGGCTGCAACTGCAGGGACAGCATTGGCTGCACCTGTGACCAGAAGCAGCCCAGCAGTCAGAGCACAGGCTGGATGTCTGAGGAGGGTCCCTGCCCACCGGCTCCCGCCAGCCAAGCTGCGTGCTGGCTGCTGCCTGCAGGGCGGGGTCAGGACGGGTGGCCACCCCGGTGCTGAGAGCTGGGCCTGACCAGCGCTCACCACTCACTGCCCCCACTGCCGCGTCCTTCCCCTACGAGACGTGAGCAGACTCCAGAGTCTAGAGTGGGTCCAGCAGACAGTCCGCCCTGCAGTTGGCACCCAGGTGGGGAGACAGATTCCTCCGGCTCCCTGCTTTGCCACCTTCCCTGAACCCTTTCCAGGTGTCGTCACTGACCCCCCGGACTGTGTGTGTGAGACTGACAGGCCTGTGTGGCTGTTGCCCCGTGACCTCTGCCAGGACCCATGAGGCTCTAGCTCCCCACATCCCCCTCACCGCCCGGGCCCCCCTCACCGCCCGGCCCCCCTCACCCGCAAGCCCAGGTCTGCACACAGCGTCTCCATCCTCGGGACCCTGTGGACGTTGTCAGACCGGGCAGGACAGCGAGCAGTACCCACACCAGGCTCTTCCCCTCCACAAAGAGGGAGCCTCCATCCCCTGCAGGTCCCCTGCTCAGAGCCCGTCCTTCCCGACCAGCTGCCCCCCAGGCCCCTGGGCTGTGCAGACTGGGCAGGGTCTCTGCTGTTCTGTCCTTCCGGTGGGCAGGCTCTCCCTGCCCGGCCAGCGGAGCCCCCTGCCCCTGTGGGGTTCTCCTCCAGCCCGTGGGGTGAGGCCTTTACCGAACCTCCCTCAGGAGGGCGAACAGGTTCACTGCTCACGGAGGAACACGGCTCAAGGCCTGTGAGCAGACCCTGGGCTGCCCCGGGATCCCTGCGCCACTGTCCCCAGTGTGGGCACTGCTGGGGCTGGGGCTGTGCTGGGGCCGTGGGCCTGGGGGGAGGGCGGCCTGGCAGGGGGGAGGGCGGCCATGGAGCCAGGACTGAAACCCCAGCTGAGCTGGGAAGTCGGGCCGGGTGACCGAGTGGTGAGGCTGGTTTCGGGGTGCGAAGGGCTGCGCCGGGGGCCTGTGGGGGAGAAGGGAACAGGGTGAGGGGAGGGAGCAGGCGCAGATGGTGCCAGGTGGTTCTGCCAAGGGGGCTGGGCAGGCTCTGCTGGGGGCCTGGAGGCCATGCCGTGAGCCCGTCTTTATTGGAGGTGCAGTGGGCAGTGGGGGTGTCCTGGCCCAGTCTGAACGTTGGGGTGATCCCTCCAGCCATCTCTTTCTCAGCGATTCAAAGAAGGGCCTGTGGGAGGAACCAGGGTGACTGGGCCGCGTGCTGGGTCAGGCGGGCACCAGGGGCCAGCAGGCGAGGAGGGAGGCATTGCGCTCTGGGTGCCTGGCGGGGCGGGCAGGGCGGGCAGGGCGGGCGGGACGCTGGGTGCCTGGCAGGGCGGGCCTCTCGGGCAGGGCGGGCAGGTGGGTGGGGTGGCAGCAGGCAGAAGGCTCTGGAGCCCGTGATAAGGGGGGAGGGAGGCTGCTGGACCTGCAGGCGGCTCCTTGCTGGCTCTGGCCAGGTGTTGGCAGGGAAACAGATGGTTCATCCCAGGTTCCGGAGGGACGGGGGCTTCTGGGGGTTGGGGTCGCAGCCATGGAGCATGGCAGCCAGGAGGAGGGGCAGGGGTAGAGCACAGAGGGGGCTGTGGGAGTGGACGGACCGCGGGGTGGGCCTGGGGAGGGCAGAGCTGCAGGGGCGTTAAGTCGGTGCCGTCGGGGTAAGACAGGCATGGTGGAAACAGCCCGTCCGAGGGCAGAAAAGGCCGTCGTGCCCAAAGTCACGCCAGGGCCCAGGGGACTGGCTTGGATGCCGGCCCCCGCCTGCTAGCCCCCTGCCAGGCCAGCGTCCCTACGTGGAGCCTCCCTGTCCACCCAGACCCCCAGGCCTCGCCCCCCAGCCTCGCTCCAGCACAGGTGCACGGGGGTGGGGGTGGGGGGGTGCAGCCTGTCCTGGACCTGACCCTGAGCTTCGCTGAGGCCTGTGGGGGGCCAGAGGGGTCCCCAGGAGGCCCACGCCCACACCCTCTCTGCCCCCAGGAGATGGTGGACTGGTTCAACGCGCTCCGTGCTGCTCGCTTCCACTACCTGCAGGTGGCCTTCCCGGGGGCCAGCGCCGCCGACGTGAGTGCCTGCTGTAGCCGTATCCCCGGGGCGGGCGGGGGTGCTGGGGGCTACGGGCTCACATGGGCCCCCAAGGCTCATGCCACGACGGCTGTGGCCTCCTGAAGCGACCACAGTGGTCCCCCTTTGTTCCGGGACACCTGGCCCGAGCTATGGGGTGGGGGGCATGCGGGGGTGCAGCAGTGGGGGGCTGGCCCGGGCAGCTGAGCCCCTTTTCCACTGCAGCTCGTGCCAAAGCTGACCAGGAGCTACCTGAAGGAGGGCTACATGGAGAAAACGGGGCCCAAGGTGCGTAGAACCAGCTGCCCTAGGCGCCCAGTCTCCCCAGGCCTCAGCGTCAGTCACCTGGGGGAGGGGTGACCGTGGGGGCGGGAAGTGCAGTGACATTCCTGGCGAGGCCTCAGCTGGCCTGTGTCACGTAGGAGCAGGGGCCCTGCTGACCCACGACCAGGACTCGGTCAGGCAGGCCCGGCCCTGTCGTGTATCGGAGCCCAGCCCCTGCCTCCAGGTGGCTCATTCCAGGCCCCACAGGGAGGGGGTCAGGTGGCGGGAGGAGGCTGAGCCCGCGGCTGAGTGAATGCCTGTGCAGCCGCCCTCCTGGGGGGAGTGGGGCCAGGGCCCCGGCCGGTCACGGGCTCTCTGACCCCCAGCAAACAGAGGGCTTCCGGCGGCGCTGGTTCACCATGGATGACCGGAGGCTCATGTACTTCAAGGACCCCCTGGTAAGGCAGGGCTGTGGCCCTGGTCAGCTAGGCCCCTTGCAGGGTGGACGTGCCCCCTGAGACTGCCGACACACTGGGGGCAGCGCGGGGGCAGGGGCGGCCCTCGGGGTCCTGCAGAGCTGGGCCTGGACAGGGGGCTGCCCCGCCCCCAGCGGGGTGGGTTGGGGGCGGGGACCCTGCTCAGCCAGCCCGTGCCCCCCAGGACGCGTTCGCCCGCGGGGAAGTCTTCATCGGCAGCAGGGAGAGCGGCTACACGGTGCTGGACAGGCTCCCGCCGGCCGCCCAGGGCCACCACTGGCCCCACGGCATCACCATCGTCACGCCCGAGCGCCGGTTCCTGCTGGCCTGTGAGACGGAGCCGGAGCAGCGCGCGTGGGTGGAGGCCTTCCGGAAGGTGGTGGACAGGCCCATGCTGCCCCAGGAGTACGCAGGTGAGGGCCGGGCAGGGCTGTGGGGGGGGGGGGCGCACCCTGAGCGGCCGTCACAGCCGAGCCCGTCCCTTCCAGTGGAGGCCCACTTCAAGCATAAGCCCTAGCGGGAGCTGGTCCTGGAGGCCGAGAACGTGGACACGCTGGACGCTGCGGTGCGGTGGCGGGGCGGCCGGCCACAGCTCCGCCCTGAAGGGCAGCCGGACATGGCTGGGCCTGACCTGTAGCCGCCAGGACCTGTTTCTCTAGAACCTCATGTGGGCCTGCCTGGCCTGACCTCTGACCCCATCATGCTGCTGTCTCTCCCTCCCCACCCCCTGGACTGCCCTTCCTGGGGGCCTGGCCTCGGCTCAGGGCAGCCCAGCGGCCCCTCACTCACTCACTCACCCTGCCACGAGCCCCCGCCAGCAGGACCTGCCCCACCGGGAGCTGGACTGGGGACAGCGGCAGCCTGCATGCCATGTCCCGCCCAGCCTCGTCCCACCCCCACCACGTCCCACCCACGCCACGTCCCGCCCCCCACTCCCGTCACCTTCTCCCTGTCCTCTCAACAAGTATTTATTGAACGTCTGCCGTGTGTCAGTTGTGGGTCCTGGGGGCTGGAGGGGAGGACACAGCCCTCGACCTCGAGCTGACCTGCCATCCACATGGTCCTGGGGGGCCAGCTCACATGCCCAGTTCTGTCTCAGCCCTGCCTGGTGGCCACCCGTTCCCTGGCCTTGCTGTCTGTGAACCCCTGGACGGTAAGCCTGAGCCCAGCGGGCTGCCGACCGTCAGGAGTTACAGCCCTGGGACCCCTGGTGTCCTGGCTCTACTGCCCTTGACAGGGTGTCTGAGAACGTGTCAGGGAGAAGGGGGATGGCTTGGTGGCCTGCGGCCCCAGGAGGCACAGTGCCTGGTTGAGGTGGAGGGATCACTGCCCGATGACCCAGCAGCCTCCAGCCCCACCCCCAGTCCTGCCCAGGGGAGCCTGGAACCAGGTCCTCGGAGCAGGGCGTCATGCCCCCTCCGTCCTGGGGTCACACGCGGGATGAGGTGGGCTCTGGCGTGGCTTCGTCAGTGTCTTGGGGGCTGGCAGGTTGCCCCTCCCTCAGAACCGAGTCCACTGCTGCAGCTGCCTGGGGGCCCCCACCCACTCTCAGACCGGAGACAAGCCGAGCCCCAGAGCCGGAAGACGTCCTGGTCGGCGGGAAACCCTGAGGCCCCACCGTGAGGCCAGCTGCACCCCAGGCCACCTGGGAGACCACGTAGACCCTCCCCCGAACCCAAAGTGCAGGGGCCCACCTGCGAGTGTGGGAGTCTGAGGTGTGCCCGAGTGAGATCGTGTGCCCGTGTGTCCGAGTGGGATCGTGTGCCCGTGTGTCCGAGTGGGATCGTGTGCCCGAGCGGGTTCGTGTGCCCGTGTGTCCGAGCGGGATTGTGTGCCCGTGTAGGTTCGTGTGCCCGTGTGCACATCCACGTGTGGTGCCAGGAAACCAGCAGATGTGATGTGTGATGAGAAAGAACGAACAGGGTGATGACCGGCAGGGGAGATGTGCCCTCCCCGTCCGTCCTGAGGTCTGTGGGCTGCAGGGTCCACGCAGGGGCAGGAGACTTACCCTCCGGGTCCCGGTCCCGGCTCCACGCAGCATCATCCTGCTCGGCCTCCGACATGCTGACAGTTCCGCCCGCCAGGGCCCAGGTAGATGGACACAGGCAGCGGGGGGTCGTGTTCCCAGGATCTGGCTGCACCCTTCAGCCCCCTTCACAGCCTGAGGGGCTGGTGCGCTGCAGGCCCTGTGCTGGGGGGCAGGGCCGACAACGGGTAACTGGCCGCACGCGGGGAGGGTCGCCAGGAACGAGTGTGGGTGCAGCCGTGCCGTCCGCACTGCTTGGTGGCTTCCTGGCCAGTTGATCCTCGGCACAGCCACACACAACACTCAAGCTCTGCCCCCCGCGGTTCCGAACCAGGCAGGACGGGGGTGTCAGCATGGGTTCGGTCAGACTCCCACCCGCCTCCCCATGGCTGCCAACACCCCTCCCCAGAGAACCCGGGGCTGGTGGGGGGCACCACCTGCAGAAGCTGTCGCCTCAACCAGACTTTCTCCAAACGGAACGGAGTTTCTCACGAGGCTCTGCTGCCGCCCACCCCCCGGCCCCGGCCCCGGCCCCGTGCCCACCCCAGCTCCTCAGAAAGGACCAGCGCTGCGAAGCCCAGTATAAAGAATTTATTTAAACTCAACAACAAACACAAACCTCCCTCAGTCCCGTCTGCACAGGAAGTAGAACTGTCTGTCCGTTCCTTCCACGCACGGTCACTGTGTATCCATCTACATACAACTCTTCTTTTAATTGTGAAAAAATAAAGTGTGTCCCGTGCTGGCTGTCCCGGGACATCTGACAGCATGTGGGAAGGGACCGCTTGGGGCTGGACTGGTGGTTTGGTTAAAACCTGGACCGCAGGTGAGGAACTGTCACCATGGAATAAATATTGCATCACAAGGTGGGAGTCCCGCAGCCTCCAGACGTCTGCACGCGGCCCTGTGCAGGCCGTGGCTCCTGGGACTTGGCGCGGAGCAACAGCCACCGTGGACGTCCACGTGGGGTCGGCCCGACGGCAGCCACCCCGACCCTGGTGCCTGTGTCGGCCCTCGGCACCCAAAGCAAACCAGAAACAAGGACGGGGAGAAGGTGGCACGCAAGCTGTGCTTTATTGTGGGTCAGTCTGGGCCACGGCCACAGCCACGGCCACAGCCGCCCCACTGCCCTCAGCCAGGGCACACCGACGGCCGCCTGGCTGCAGCCTCAGACCCGGAGCGCGGCCCAGGCTCGCTCGACCACGCCGCAGGCGGGGCCTCTCCATGCAGGCTGAGGGGGCGTCAGTCGAGCTCGATGGGGCTGCTGTCGTCCTGGCTGTCGTCGGCCTCCTGCTCCGGGGAGCCCATGAGGCTGCTCAGAAGGTTGCCTGGAAGCAGAAGCACCGTCAGAGGCCTGGCGCCCACCCAGAAGCCCGCCTTCCACGCTCCTGAGGACACGCTCGCCCGGCCGCGGGGCCCGCCGGAGCCCCCACAGGAGCCCCCACAGGATGCGCAGAGCAGCGCGCAGGGCTGGGCGACGGGGAGAGGCCCTGGGCCATCGGGGACACGGCCCAGCCACCCAGGGGAGCCCAGGGTCCAGCAGAGGGAGGCCCCAGGTCACGTGCACAGGGACAGTCGGCCGGATGCGCCGTCCCCAAGGCCACACTGGTGAAATGCCCACTGCCGCCACCTGTGGGGCTGACGCTGCCCACAAAGCTCCTTTCACTTCGATTTGCACCCAAAGCACAAGGATCATGTCAACACAAACTCAAGTTTAAAAAGTCCCCGGAAACCAACTGTGAGCGCACACAGGTGTGCGGGGACGTGACACGCTCCAGACAGATGGCAGGGGGTCAGCCTCCATGACCTGCACCCCACAGGGGCCAGTTCTTCTGATGGAAAACAAGGACAGGCGGTCAGGACACTGACACGGGACTGAGCCCAACAGACACGCCCCAAGAAAGTGGGGGGCACGGCACGGGCTGTGGACATGGGACACGTCAAACTGGGCTTACAGGGAGACGGCATTCAAAATCTCAGCGTCGTTTGGCAACAGCCATCAAAGTGACAAGTGCTCCCCCCACAGGCCTGCCCCAGAGCGCAGGGGCACGAGCCGTCTCCAGGGGGCAGCAGGAATGAGCGCTGCTGGCCCTCGGGTGCGTGCTCTGGGCCCTGGACTCTGAAACACGATCTACACGTTCAAACATAAAGTGAAAACATGAACGATGATAAACGGAGGGCTGCCCTGTCCCTGCCCGAGGGGAGGCCGCCCCGGGGGGTGTGGTGTGGGAGGAGGGCCTGGCCTAGCACCACGGAGACGACACACACTCTGAAGGGACCTGCCGAGGAAAGGGACGGACCGGCACCAGAGCTCGGAAGGAGGCCAGGAGCTCCCGAGCTCCTCAAGCTCTGGAAACCGGAGGAGGCACTTCCCCAACCACCTGTGAGACCAGCATCCCCCAGACACCAAGGCCAGACAATGGCCTGTAGTTTTCGGACCAAACATGCACCAGACATGCTACAACATGCTCAGAACTCACAGGGAGACTTCCTGACCCTGGCCTGGCAGTGACTTCTGGGGGACAACCACCAAAGGCACAGGCATCAAAGAAGACACTGGACTTCGTGAAACCTCTGACGACGCAGCAAGAGACTGTCCACAGGACAGACCATGGGAGGGACGCACAGAGGGGAGCAGACGGCGTTTGGGGCAGTGCGGTCCTGTGACCCTGGACTGGCGGTCACTGCGCATCTGTCCAAACCTCAGGGCACCCCCAAGAGCAAGCCTGTTGCAGACATGGACTCGGTGATGAGGTGCAGCGCGCGTCCCTGGTGACTAACGCCCGTCGCGGGGGGTGTCGCCGTGGGGACCGTGCACGGGTGGGTTCGTGGTGAACGGGAACCTCTGTACCTTCCTCTTCATTCTGCTGTGACTCCATCACTACTTTAAAAAAGTAGTCTCGCCCTGGCCGGTTTGGCTCAGCGGTTGGAGCATCGGCCTGCGGTCCAAAGAGACCCGGGTTCGGTTCCCGCTAAGGGCATGTACCTCGGTTGCAGTGTGTCCCCGGCCCTGGTTGGGTCGTGCGGGTGGCAGCCACTCAATGTGTCCCTTTCACATCGATGTTTCTCTCTCTCTCTCTCCCTCCCACTCTATCTGAACAAAAATGGAGAAATGTCCTCGGGTGAGGATTAAAAAAAAAAAAGTAGTTTAAAAAAAAAAAGGAAATGGATAGAATGGGAGAAAGTACTTGCAAACCATCTGTTAAGGGATGAACACCCAGAAAATACAGAGAACCCGAACAACCCAGCTCAGGAAGTTCGGGTGGCCGAGCACAGACACGAGCACAGACACACGTGGCCGAGGAGCCTGCGGGGGACACTGATCAGACCACCCCGAGGCACCGCCTCACCCCTGTGGCGGCGAGCAGACAGAACGCGCCACAAGGACGTGGAGGCAGAGCCTCCAGCACCCTGTGGACGGTGAGCAGTGGCCTCTGTGGACGGAGCAGAGCCCTCAGACTCAGCACAGAGCCCGCGGGGCCCAGAGGACTGGAAGCAGGGCTAGTGGACAGCCGCACCCACGTCCGGGCAGCCGGCAGGGGCAGCATCCCCGTGCCCACTGGTGAGGGAGCGGAGGGCGGCGGGGGCCTGCACACCAGGACCTGCCCTGACCCCTGCACCCAGGAGTGACCTGAGGGCAGTGAGTGAAGCGAGGGGCACAGACCGTGCACTGAGCTCGTCCAAGGTACCGGTAGGGGGCTGGGGTGCCTGGGGCGGGCTCACTGCCAGGAGGGGGGACGGGGTGCCCGGGGCGAGCTCACTGCCAGGAGGGGGGACGGGGTGCCCAGGGCGGGCTCACTGCCGGGAGGGGGGACGGGGTGCCCGGGGTGGGCTCACTGCCGGGAGGGGGGACGGGGTGCCCGGGGCGGGCTCGCGGGCAGTGAGGGGGGACGGGGTGCCCGGGGCAGGCTCACTGCCGGGAGGAGGGATGGGGTGCCCGGGGCGGGCTCGCGGGCGGTGAGGGGGACAGGGTGCCTGGGGCGGGCTCACGGGCGGTGAGGGGGACAGGGTGCCTGGGGCAGGCTCGCGGGCGGTGAGGGGGACAGGGTGCCTGGGGCAGGCTCGCGGGCAGTGAGGGGGACAGGGTGCCTGGGCCGGGCTCACCGGTGGTGAGGGCTGCACAACAATGTGGACGCACTTGTGCCCCGGACGACAGAGATGGTGAAAATGGCAAAGCATACGTTATGTGAACTTCACACACACAAAAAACCCAAAATGAGAAACCTGGCCTTCTTTCTGTGGCCCATGAAGGGAGCACGGGCCATGACTCGGGGGCCCAGCAGCTGTGTGGGAACCGGGGGGACCCACAGGCACAGACACGGGCCCAGCAGGCGCAGGAGCCAGGCCTTACCTAGCAAGCCCCCGTAGGAAGACGTCTGCTTGGGCGGCACCCCGAAGAACAGCTGTCCTATCCTGTCGAGGTACTGAGGGGGCAAAGGCACGTGAGACCCCACGGACGTGCCCGTGGTCCTCCCCTCTGCCCCCGACGAAGGCCCCTCCAGCTGCAGCCCTCACCTCGTTGTACATGGGGTCCCGCCGCAGGGACGGCTGGTACCGCTCACACAGCACCGTGAACACGGCCAGCTGGCCTCTGCAATGACAGGGGGCACGGCGCTGCGGCCACCGGGCACCAGGGCGAGCAGGAGCCCCCCCCACAGCCTCACAGAGCCACCCACACACACCTACACACACACAGCCACACACCCTCCCCGACTCACACCCCCCACAGCCACAGCCACATACCCACCCATACTCCCCCTCCCCACCCCCGCACTCACCCGTCCACGGCCAGCAGCAGGAACCAGATGAAGTTGAGCAGCGGCTGCACAAACGGGGGGCCGTCCTCAATGGACGGGTGTTTCTGCGTGTACGTCGTGAACACCACGGACGCACTACTTTTGTTTTTTAAACAGAGAAACCTGGAAATTACAGCATCCAGTCGGCGAAGACACAGAAAGCCTGTTGGTAGCAGCCACGCGGAGCCTGCACACCCCCGGCCCTGTGCCCAGGGCCGAGCAGAGGGACCGCTACCCTGAGGGCCTGCACACCCCCAGCCCCGTGCCCAGGGCCCCGCAGAGGGACCGCTACCCCGAGGGCCTGCACACCCCCAGCCCCGTGCCCAGGGCCCCGCAGAGGGACCGCTGCCCGAGAGCCTGCACACCCCCGGCCCCGTGCCCAGGGCCCCGCAGAGGGACCACTGCCCGAGAGCCTGCACACTCCCGGCCCCGTGCCCAGGGCCCCGCAGAGGGACCGCTGCCCGAGAGCCTGCATACCCCTGGCCCCATGCCCAGGGCCCCGCAGAGGGACCACTGCCCGAGAGCCTGCACACCCCCGGCCCCGTGCCCAGGGATGAGCAGAGGGACCGCTGCCCAAGGGCCTGCACACCCCCAGCCCTGTGCCCAGGGCCCCGCAGAGGGACCGCTGCCCGAGGGCCTGCATACCCCTGGCCCCATGCCCAGGGCCCCGCAGAGGGACCACTGCCCGAGAGCCTGCACACCCCCGGCCCCGTGCCCAGGGCCGAGCAGAGGGACCGCTGCCCAAGGGCCTGCACACCCCCAGCCCCGTGCCCAGGGCCCTGCAGAGGGACCGCTGCCTGAGGGCCTGCATACCCCTGGCCCCGTGCCCAGGGCCCCGCAGAGGGACCGCTGCCCCAAGGGCCTGCCGAGCCCGTGCACCCACAGCCACGCGCTGAGCCCGGAGTCCGGACTGTCACCATTTACAGCTGGGGAGAAGTGAACTCCGCAGGTGACGTGCAGGGGAGCAGATGAGGGCCCTGCTGCCCCGCACACCCGCCAGCACCCGCCTGCGTGAGCACAGCCAGGGGTCAGCAGTGCGAGGCCCCGGAGGGTGTGTTCAGGGGCAGCTGAGGGAGCGTTTCCATCACATTTTAAGGCACCAAGGGGGCCATGAGAGGGGCTCGCGCTCCTCCATGCACCACGCCCGGCCCAGAGTCTGCACCGGACGGCAGAGCCAGGACTGCGGGACCTGCTCGCTTCTGCAGCCGAGCTCGGAGCAGGCAGGCTCCCCTCAGATCTCGACACCCCGTCCCCGCACCCTGCCTCCAGCCGAGGTGTTTGTGGAGGAAATGAGCATCCCACGCAAACTGTTCCCGCCAGGAAACGGCAGAGCACCTGGAGCCGGGAGCGGCCTGAGCGGGCAGCACGGCCGCCCGTCTGCTGTGCCTTCAGCACTTCCTGCCCCGCCGGGAAGACCACAGGGGCCGAGAAGGCCTGAGGGACAGAGAGCCAGGGCCCGGCGAGAGGACGGGAGCCAGGGCCCAAGGCTAAGACGTCTCGATGCAGAAACATCTGCAACAAGCACAGTCTGTGGAAAAGCCCCTGAGAGCAGGCTCATCACACGACAAAACAGGCTCAAAACCCCCGACACGCGTGCTGTGGAGCAGCCGCCACCAGGACACAGAGCAGGGGGCAGACAAGTCCCTGGTGCGCATGAGGCCATTGTGAGACAAAGCCCACTTCTGTGACGGCCCCGGGCGCCGAGAGGGACAGGTCTGTGGCGGGGCCACAGTGGGCATGTCCCATGACGCCAGCCATGGGACCCGTGTGGCGGAGCCCGGACGAGCCACGCAGGACACCTACTGCAGGACGGCCTGCGCCACGAACATGTCCACCTCGCTGCGGAAGCCCCTGGAGGTGGAGTACTCCACCAGCATGTTGGCGCAGCCTTCCCCGTCGGCGGAGTGCAGGAAGTGGTACCGCGACTCGCAGTAGTTCTGTTCTGGAGAGAGAGGGGCCTGTGAGCACGGCGTGGCGCTCCGGTCAGAGGGCCTTCGGAGACGTGTGTCCTTTATGCCCCACCCACCTGCTGCCACACGGCCCCCCCCTCCCCGTGCCCACAGTGGCGGTGCCCGTCCTGCACCCAGCTGCTCGACTAGCACCTCACCGCCCCCTCGAGCTCTGAGGGTCCCATGCCACCTGCTGGGAGGACAGGTGCTCCGGCTGAGCTGACCTGGCAGGCTTCCTGGCACCCCCACACAGCACTGCTGTTGCTGGACCCCAAGACATGGCCCATCGGGGACCTGTCGACCCACACTAAGCAATGCAAGCCCACCGACCCAGCACAGACACCTGGGACCGTGGAGCAGCCAGGCTCCGCTCGGGCTGCCTTGTAACACAGGCACAGAGCAAGCACCGGACAGACGCAGGGCAGCGGGACGGTGCCACCCTGCACTCCCCCTCTGCCGGGTCCCTGAGGTGTCCCTGGGGTGGATCAGGAGCAGATCCGCCCCCACAGGACCTGCACCAACAGGCGGCTGCCGTGCTGTGAGCCGGCCCAGCCCACCCTCCCGGGCTGCCCGCGGCCGAGCGCGGAGCTGCAGGGCTCCCGTGAACACACTTCCTTGGCCGTTTCACTGTGAGTGTGCTCCAGTGGTCTGACTTTCACACACATGGCCAAGTCCCACCTTCCCCACGTCATCAAGGACCGAGGCTGCAGCCTGGGCCTCCCTGTGACCATGATGCCCCTCCACCCCAAGCCGCTCACTAACCTGCTACAGGGACGGCTCTCACCCCAGCGACTCCACCCCCCTCGAGACACACGTCAGCATCTGCAGACACATCTGGCTGCCACAAGGGGGGGATGCTGCCCGGGAGCCTGTGACGAGCAGGACGCCAGCTCCCCCACACCCAGCCGGCCGCTGCCCTGCTCACAGGCTCACAGGCTCACTGGTCCTGCCCTTGGCGCTGCGGGCCCAGCACTCACCCTGCACTGGGACATGGCTCAGCCTGAGCGCTGCCTCCCTGCCCGCGACTCGGCATCAGCCCGGAATCATGGAGCCAGCGTCCCTCTAGCTGTTCTGCTGTCCCCCTACCTCTCCTTCCAACCCCCAAACCACTCTTTGGTTTTAGAGCATCCACTGGAGAAGGAGAACGAGGCAAACAGCTACCCCAGACCCCTCCGACCCTGGATGAAGCTGTGCCAACAGCCACAGCAGCGAGGACCCAGCACCTCCCTGGTCTGCCGTCCGCCAGCCTCTGTGGGTGGCCCTCAGCACAGCCGTCTCCACAGCTGGGGGGACGGTGGGAGGGGAGCCCCTGGCTGAACACTGCCCTCTCACCCATGGTTGGTGTCCCGAACGCTCCGTCATCACTGAACACATGCGCTGTGGCTCCCAGCCACCGCTCCGTGCCCGAGCAGCCGGGACTGTCTGCGTCACACACACGCTTCAGAGCCGGGCGCCATTGGGCCCCAGCTGCTGGGCATTGCCTGCGGCCCCACAGAAACAGGCCGGGAAAACAGTGCCAAATAAATGCCAACCGGCAACACTGGGTGATCCCAACTGCCCTGCAGGTGGCCCACCTGCTCCATGGAGAAAGGGCCGGGCCTGGGCCCCATCCCGCCTCACGGTCCCAGCCTCACTGCCTCAGGTGCTGCCCCTCCACAGGCGCCTCCGAGCCCCCACAGCAGACCTACCTCTCCACAGGGTGAGGGCCAGCAGCTGGTGCAGCCGGGGGTGGCCCAGCCTCCCGGACCCCCCGCTGGACCACTTCAGGGCTCTAGACACAAAGGCCACACGCTCCGGAGAATTCGGATCCATCAGACTGAACAGTTTCGCCAGGTTTTCTGAGAACGACACAAACAGGCCCCACTCAGGGAACACACCACGACCTCGCTCTCCCTGCAGCCCGCCCTGGCGTGCCCGCGGGCGGTGCCGCCCACGCGAGGGGCGCAGAGCCAGGGCAGAGGCAGCAGTGGACTCCTGGGGGCGGCGGCGCACCCCGGCCTCGGAAGGCGCCCGGCGCGGTGAGAGCCTCACCCAGCAGCTCGTCGGCCACCTCCACTTCCGCCTTCTCCAGCGACTCCAAGACCAGCATGGACAAGTCTGCAGCACTGTTTTGCTACAAAACATGGGAACAAACGAGAACCACACTGTAGGAAGGGAAGCTCCGTGTTCGGAAGACAGCAAAGCAGCCCAAAGAACAGCCCCGCCCCGCAGGCCGGCCGCACTCACCTGGCCGTGGCTGAAGAACAGCAGGGCTCCCGAGCACATGAGCTCCCGGGCCTCCGCGTGCTTGCTCTGCGACGTGTACCTGCGCGGGGCAGGGCGTGAGGGCGGCGCACACCGAGCCCGCAGGCTGGCTCGCGGTGATTCTGGAGACCCCACGAAAGCTTACAAACGACCTCCCAGTGGAACAGACACGCGCTGTGTGGTTTCCTGAGCCCGCCACCGCCCCGAGTCCTGGCACGGGCCCCCAGGGGTCAGTCAGGGCTCCGGGTCCCCGGCTGGCATGGAGTCCCTGCCGTCAGCGATGTGGCCTCGGGACCAGCAGGCCGTGCCCCTGCAGCAGCAGGGACTCTGGGCAGGTCCAGATGGTCAGTAGAGGGGACCAGCAACAGGCTGGGTGCCATCCCTCTTCAAGCATGGGCCTGGCTGCGGTGGCAGGTGCCGCGTGAGGGCAAGGCGCTGCGCCCTCCCCCGCCAGGGCCAAACCAGAGGTGCTGGGGTGAAGTCTCACCGGGACGACACCCGCCATGACTCGGCTAACTCTCAGCATGCCCCTCACTTCCCACAGGGGCGAGGCCCGGGTGGCACGTCGGCCTCGCCCTGCGTGGGCGCCCACTCCGAGTGCACGTGTCACAGAGGACAGGGCCTGGGGACAGGAACGAGGACGCCGGAGCCCGGCAGGCGACGACGCAGACAGGACGGACAGGAAGGGTCTGTCTGCAGCAGACAGCGTGTCCAGGGACGCAGAGCCGCCCGCAAGAGAGACTCAGCAGGAGCTGGCGCTGGCCTGCGAGGCGGGACCTGGCTCGCTGACCGTCTGTGCAGCTCAGTGACCCCGGGGAGAGCACAACCAGGGAATCCCATCTGTGCCTCCAGCCCAAACACCCCAGAGGAGCACAGAAGGCTCTGCCCCCTCACGTCCAGTCAGGAGGGTGTGAGCAGTGGGCTCTGCGAGTCACCACAGACACGTCTTCCCTCAGAAAGGCTCCCCGAGCAGACACCCCAGAACACAGCCCACCCTGCCAGGGCCCTCCGGCTGCCTGGACATGGGAGGACACCCTGCACCAGCCGCAGGTCACTCCATGGACTGTGTGTGCTGCTGACAGTGGTGTGTCCCCCATCACCCACGCATACATGCACACACACAGCACACGCACGCACGCGTGCACACACATGCACACAGCCTGGTCCCAGCACCACCACAGAGCTCTAGAAAGCACCCCGAGACACAGCTCCACCTGCAAGGACCCCCAGGAGCAGCCTTTACCCTGAGTGACCATCAGACCAGCCTGTCTGGGCTCATTCACGACACTGCACTGCTCTGTCTCGGGTAGGAAGGGATAATGTCTTAGAAAACCAGATAAGGAAAAAAGAAGTCCCTGAAAGGCAGGTAAACCAAGTTTCTGGGCAGTGGAGTCTACTTTCGGGGGGCGAGAGGCCAACAGCTCTACTGTGCACACGGCACGGGCCGGTCCCCCAGCCGCACCCCGTCCACCTGGAGTCACCCGAAAGGCTCGGGAGAGCTGGGGAGTACAAGGAGTGAAGGGCGACCGTGAGGATGGAGTGCAGTCTCTGCAGCTCTGGGGCGGCAGGGGACCGAGTTTCTGGGTGACGGAGCAGGGACGAGAGCAGCCGGGTCGCCCAGCACCCACACTGAGGGGCTGCCTGCCAGCCCACGAGCTTCCGCAGCGCCACCCACCCACAGCGCTGCGCCGGTGCACTCGCTCGCTCTGCTCCAGTTCTCAGGGAGAGCGCTGCCCGCGGTGAGCCGCCTGAGTCCCCCCGTCCACAGCTCCTGCTCACCACAGCCCAACAGAGGCCACCTGCCCAGTGCCCAGGACGCCCGAGACCACACCCTGGAGCACGGGAGGGCAGGCGCTGGAACACGGGAGGTGGGACGGGACGGCGCACACAGCTCATTCCCAGCACACGCTGGAGTGGCCCCCACACCACGCCCAGAGGAGAACAGCTCCCTCCCCGGCCAGTGGTGCTCACGCCACCAGAGGGCCTGGTGAGAGGCTGCAGCACGGGGGCACCAGCGGCCACAGGGGATGGGGAGTAATGCAGCCGGCTTGCAACCCCCCCCCCCCACACACACAGTGGTCCAGGTGACCTGAACGCAGTGAGGACACCGGCTACCCTGTCACTGGCGCTGCGACCCCACAGGTGCAGGAAGCGTGCATACAGCGCCATCTACTGGGAAACAGGAGCATGGCCTCTAATTCCCCAGTCAAGACGGGCTAAGGAAAGATGCCACCACCCCTACTGTGCAGAAGAAGCACAGCCTGTCAAGCCATGAGCAACAAAGTGACTGGTCTGCAGAAGCCAAACCCTAAGTCACGGAAGACAGGACCTAGTGACAGAGAATCCACAGCAGCCACGAAGAAACTCAACAGGACTCATTAATACTCAGAAAGGCAGCTCAGTGAGCTCAGGAATAAGACGCATAAGCACAACGAGCATGGGACCAAAAAGACTGAAATTGTGAAAGAGACTGAACAGAAACTCTGGAGCTGAGGACCCCAGAAGCAAGGAGACGCACTGGAGAGCACGGGGAACGCAGCGGACCGCATGGGACACGAGGGAGCCTGCAGACAGGTCCAGGTGGGAGGGAACGTCAGCCAGTACTACCGGGACCTCAGGAAAGGCAACAAGGCCCCGGCCGGTTTGGCTCAGCGGTTGGAGCGTCGGCCTGTGGTCCAGAGAGACCTGGGTTCGGTTCCCGCTAAGGGCACATACCTCGGTGGCAGTTTGTCCCCGGCCCTGGTTGGGCTGTGCGGGTGGCAGCCACTCGATGTGTCCCTTTCACGTCGATGTTTTTTTCTCTCTCTCTCTTCCTCTCTATCTGAACAAAAAATGGAAAAATGTCCTCGGGTGAGGATAAAAAAAAGAAAAGAAAAGAAGAGAAAAGGCAACACAGGATAATGGGAATCTCAGAGGGGGGTACCCAGAAGGGCATCCAAGTGCAGGAAGCTAACAGACCTAATTACTCAACGCAGAGACTTTCTCCAGGACACGTGGTCTCGAACCAATCAGGGCTAATGACAAAAGAGTTCTCAAAGCAGCCAGGGGGAAAGACAGCAACCTCCAGAGGAAGCCCATCAGGTTACCAGACTTCTCAGCGCAAACTGCAGCCAGAAGAGAGTAGGATGATACACGCAAACACTGAGAGATGGAAACAACCAGCCAGGAACCCTCTACCCAGCGCAGCCGCCCTCCAGACGCAGGAGGAAGGCTTTCAGACGAGAGCCAGGTGTCCACAGACGGCAGCACCACAAACCCGAACCAGAGACAAACACACTTGGACCTGCAGGGTGACTGATGCAGCCAGGCAGGACTGTGGCTCGGAGCACGGTGTCAAACGCCCCAACACAGCATGAAGTTCAGGGCAAGAGAGACCTGGCCTGCCCTCCTCAGACCCTTTCAGGCCACTTCCCAACCCGACCACGAGGCTGACAAGACCCTGACACCAACCCCCACACAATGACCGGCCGGGGTCGCTGAGGAGCACGATGCAGAGGTCCTCCACAAAACACGGACAGATGGAACACCACACAACGCAAGGGTCCTGCAGCTGGATCCAGTGGACTCGTTCCAGGGATGGAGGAGGGGTCGGCCTTCGCAAATCAATAGACCTGACTCACCCGGCGAACACCTGCAGGACAAATATCACATGACCACCGCAACAGATGCAGAAAAAGCATCGGATAAGATACAACATCCACTTATGATAAAAACTCTACATGAAATGGAGGCAGAGAAAGGACCTCGACTAGCGAAGGTCCTGATGACAGCCCACGCTAGTGTCCCTCTGGGACGAGCAGTGAGACGGGCGCCCACTCGCGTGGTTTCATCTGGCTAGCACTGGAGGTCCTGGCCAGAGCAATCGGGCAAGAAAAATAAACAAGACACAACCAAATCGGAAGAAAGAATGAAACTGCCACTACTCACAGATGACAATTTTGTTTTTTATTTTATCCTCACCCGAGGACATTTTTCCATTTTTTGTTCAGACAGAGTGGGAGGGAGAGAGAGAGAGGAAGAAGCATCAACGTGAAAGGGACACACTGAGTGGCTGCCACCCGCACAACCAACCAGGATCAGGGACAAATTGCAACCGAGGTATGCGCCCTTAGCGGGAACCAAACCCGGGTCTCTCTGGACCGCAGGCCGACGCTCTAACTGCTGAGCCAAACCAGCCAGGGCAGATGCCAATTTTATATATGAAAATCTTACAGATTTTTGGACAAATGCAGTCAAGTGTCAAGTACATACAAAAGCAGCTGCATTTCTATACACTAAAACTGTTAGAAAACATAAATTAGGAAAACAACCTCATTTACAATCGCAACAAAAAGGATAAATGCCTACAAATAAATCCAACTGAGGCGAGGAAAGGCCTGTACAATAAAACTGTTAGACGATGACGAAAGACATGGAAAAAGAAAACAAGAAACAGAAGGTTCTGTGCTCACGGATGGGAAGGACAGTTAGAATCTCCATACCACCTGAAGCAATCTATAGAGTCAGCCAAAATCCCAATGGCATTTTTCACAAAAACAGAACAAAATACCCTGACATTTGTATGGAACCACAAAGGACCCTGAATAGCCAAAGCCATCTTGAGGGGGAAAATACCCAAAGCTGGAGGCATTATGCTCCCTGATTTCAAGCTATACTACAAAGCTACAATACTCAAAACAGTGTGGTACTGGTAGAAAAACAGACACACAGACAAACAGAACAGAATCAAGAGCCCAGAAACAAACCCACACATATATGGGCAACTAATTTATGACAGAGCCAAGAACATACAATGGAGAAAGGACAGGCTCTCCGACAGATGGTGCTGGGAAAACTGGACGGCCTCATGCAAAAGAATGAAGCCAGACTGCTTTCTCTCTCCTCAAATCTGACACCAGACACTTGATTAATCAACTTAAAATGGATGAAAGATCTGAATGTAAGACCTGGAACATTAAAACACCTGGGAGAAAACAGGTGCTAAGCCCTTTGACATTGGGATCAGTGTTGTTTTGTGCATTCGACTCCAACGGCAAAGGAAACAACAAATGAACAAAAACCAAGTGGGAACACAGCAAACTAAAAAGCTTCTGCACAGAAAAGAAACCAATCAACAAAACGAAAGAGCAGCCAACTAAATGAGAGAAAATATTTACAGATCATGTATCTGATAGGGGGTTGCTATCTAAAAAACATAAAAAACTCACATAACTCAACAACAAAACAACTTAAAAACGGGCATATGTTCTGAATAGACATTTTCCTAGGAAAGATGTGGAGATGGCTAACAAGCTCATGAAAAGATGCTCAACATCGCGGACGAGGAAAATGCAAGTCAGAACCACCAGGGGTATCCCCTCACACTTGTCTCAATGGCTGTTACCAATGAGATGAGGAATAACAAACACTGGCTAGGATGTGGAGGAAAGGGAGCCTGTGTACTGGTGGTGGGACTGCACACTGGTTCCCTCAAAAAAAAAAGTTAAAACCAGAGCTTCCGCACGACCCAGAAATCCCTCCTTTGGGTATTTATCCAAAGAACACGAAAACATTCATTCAGAAAGACACATGCCCCTTGCTGTCTGCAACAGCCAAGATGTGGATGCAGCTTGGAGCCCATCGACGGGCAAGGAAAAAGGGGCTGGGGTGTAGGCCCTGTCGGTGACTCAGCTGGTCAGTCGCCCTGATATACCAAGGCTTAGGGTTCAATCCCCAGCCAGGCATATAGACCGGTGAATGCATAACTAAGAGGAACAGCAAATCAATGTCTTTCTTATTCTCTCTCCTCAAATCAATAAAAAATAAATTAAAAAGTAAATGGAGCTGTGGTCCACACGCACAATGGAGTATTACTCTGCAATGAAAATGAGTGAGATCTCACCATTCGCAACATGAATGGACCCAGAGGCTACCATACTAAGTGACATAAGTCAGAAAAACTAACGCCACGGTTTGCTCCCACGCAGAATGAAAAATGAAGTGAACAAGACAGAAACCACCTGACGGACAGAGCGATAAATGATGGCTGCCCCCAAGGGGTCACATGTGGGGTGACTTAGGAAGGAGACTAGGCTCTGGGTGGAGCTCCCGACAGAGTCACAGATGTTGAGCTGTAGTCATGTACACTGGAAATGTATGTTTTAACCACTGTTCCCTCAATAAGTTTAATTTCAAACAAGCCACTGTGTGTGTCAAATGGAGACAGAGGACAGGGCAACTCAGCTACTGGCACCTCCCGCGGCTGGTCAGCCAGACCACCTGTGCTGAGGAGACCCGGCCGCTCCGCAGGGAAAGCTCGGGTTACTGGGGGCTGCAGAGAGCTCGTGTCTTAAGGTTTTCTTCTAAGTTTCTTCACTTGATTAAGAGGCGAACCAAGGTTATAAGCCACCCTGGACCATCAACACCGACCTCAGAGAGGCCAGGGGCAGGACTCTGCGAGGCGATGACAGGGCGCCAGCCTCCCTGCGGGACAACACCAAAGCCACGGGAGGGAACTGACTGATTACTAGTTGCCCAAGGAGACGGCCCACGGCCTCCATGGGTGGGACAGAGCCGAGCAGTGATGCTCAGCCTCCAGCGGAACCAGCTGAACCAGCAACCATGCCCACTCCTGTGGACACACCCACAGGGCACCAATCTGCCCCACCACCCTGTTCCTCCCCCTCCTCTCTGACCCCCACACTGCGGTGCCACATAACGTCAGTGAATTAAATACATAACCTGGTGAGCGGGCAGTCCATCCACACAGTGGGCTACCCCTTGGCAATAAAAACGAACTGATATACACATGGGTGAACCACAAAACAGTCACAGAGTGAATTCAAAACGTTATCAGAAAAAAGACACACCAGCATTCCACTCGCATAAAACTCCAGAAAATACAAGCCAGCCTGTTGCGACAGATCCGTGGTCGCGGGGGACAGGCGTGGAGGCTCATTATAAAGGCAGATGAGAAACTTTTAGTGGTGCTGGGTATTTTCAGTTTCTTGACTGGTGACCGTTTCACGGGTGTGTACATGTATGTGTGAAAACCTTTCACGCGAGTCCTTAAACATAAGTTCAGGTGTACGGCGACCTGTGGGAAGACGTTCAACGATCAGTGTGAGGCGGTGACCCTACTTCCCGGGAGCTGCCTGTGCAGGGCTCCAAACCAGGGCCGGAATAGGCCTGGGCCCCGGCTGCTCTCGGGAGGGGCAGGGACAGCTCCGGCCTGCTCCAGCCGGGCCTCCTGGCGGCCACTAACAGCCACCGCTGACTCGTCCCCAACGAGGCCAAGGGCAGACGCTTACTTCGCATGAGCCCTGCCGGGGCGCAAAGACCCCGGAGGAAGCCAGGCCCGGGCCCAGAGGGTGAGCAAGGTGTCCGGGCCGCAGCGCAGACTGGGGGGCAGAGGACGGAGGCTGGGCTGGCGGGGAGCCCGCGGCTCCTCGCCATGCCCAGGTCACCGGAATGGACCCTGGACCGAGACTCGGCACCGTGAGGCCAAGCAGGTTCCCGCAGCCGCCACCGCAGGGCTGGCTCAGAGCGAGGGCACCTGTTTGTCTCGGGAAGGTCCAGTGTGCGGACTGACCGTGGTCCGAACTCCCACGACCGCTGGCCGTCCCTCCAGCGCGGGGCTCAGCCCGCCGGCCGCAGCCCAGCCAGAAGCACCTCCAGGGCCAGGACCCGACCCAGCCTGCCCTTTAGGGACCGGCGGTCCAGGCCTCCGCGCCCTGGCGGTCTGGCTCCGCGGTCTGAGCGTCGGCCAGGACCAGGGAGTCTCGGGTTCGGTCCGGTCAAGGGCAGGGCCTGGGTCGCAGCTCGGCCCGGCCGGTCGGCAGCCCGCGGTCCTCGCCCCCGCCCCCCGTGCGGACCGGACCCTCCGGACCCCGTTCGCACGACCAGGACGGACACACGGCTTTCCGCCCGAACCGCCGGGGCACGGAGCGCGGTCCCTCACGGGAGGGTCGTCCGCGCAGGGAGCCGGCCCGGTTCCGGCACCGACGCGCGGCGCTGCCTCGAACCCGCCGCCGGGGAAGCCACGCCGCGCCCCGGAAAGGCGCGTGGGCGAGGTCGCGCGACCGCACCGCCTCCGCGCGGAACCGGCGTCCCGCGGGCTCCCGGCCCGGCCCCGCGCGCACGTGGCCGGCGGCCAGCGCAGCGGCAACAGCCGCCGGGAGGCGAGCGGCGCGGCGGAGCCCGGGGGCCGGGCCGGGAGCCCGCGCCGGGGAGGCCGGGAGCCCGGGCTCCGCGCCAGCCGGCCCGGGGCGGCGGGCGCCCCACCTGAAGAACAGGGTGCGGTACATCTGGTGCGCCTCGTAGTAGTCGCCCTTCTCCACGCTGGCGCGCAGCTTGCCCTCCACGCGCTGGACGCCGCCGCGGTTGCGGGCGCCGTTGCGGGCGCTCTCCTGCTCGGCCATCGCCGCCGTCGCCGCCATCGGCCGGCGCTCCGCGCAGGGCTGACGCTGTCGCAGGCGCGGTCGGCAGCGCCTCTCGGCTTCCGTCCCGCCGGCCGCCCGACGTCCTCTACGGTGGCCGCGAGGAGCGCGACGGCGGGGGGCGGGCGCGCCGACGGGCGGCCACGTGACCGGGCGGCGCGCTGACGTCACAATGGTGGCCGCGCGCGGGGCGGGGCGCGGCTCCGGCACAGCCGCCCGCCGGCGTTCAGTCCCGGCCCCGGGCGGCGCCCGAAGGTCGGCGTGGGCTCGGGCTCCGCGCCCTCGGGCGGGCGTGTCGGGCCGTCTCCGGCTGTGGGCGGCGAGCCCACGGGACGTCCCAGCCCGCGAGCGGTCAGACCCGCGACACTGTTGCGATCCCCGGAGAAACGCGAGGCGCGGACGGGGCTGTGTGTGCGTCGCCGCGTGCGGAGCGGAGCCGAGGGCGCATCTGTGCGGGGCAGGCGCGCCTGTCGCCGGAATAAACGGGCGGGGAGGCGCCTCTGCAGCGGGCCCACCGCGTCTCCTCCGGGCAGCCCGCCGGCCATGCTCGGCGCCCCCGGCACCACTCGGCTCGCGCGCCAGGACCCTGAGCGCGGTGCCCGGACCCTGATCGCGGCGCCCTGCACCCTGAGCTCAGTGCACCCTGAGCGCGGTGCCCGCACCCTCGGCGCGGTGCCCGCACCCTCGGCGCGGTGCCCTCAGCCTGAGCGCGGTGCCTGGACCCTGATCGCGGCGCCCTGCACCCTGAGCTCAGTGCACCCTGAGCGCGGTGCCCGCACCCTCGGCTTGGTGCCCTCAGCCTGAACGCGGTGCCTGGACCCTGATCGTACCCTGAGCGGGTGCCCCGCACCCAGGAGGCAGTCCGTGCACACCGGGGAGGGGCGCAGAAGCAGGTGGACAGCGGGGAGTACTCGGAAGTTCATTATTATTAAGGACTTGCGGTGTTTACTTCCCACGAGGACAACCGCAAATTCACTTTTGCCCGCCCTGTGCTCCTAAGGGACATCCGGGTTGGCGGGAACGTTGAGCTCCCGAAGGCCCAGGATGGACACGTTGTTTGGAGATCATCTCCTTCCCATGACCCCATGACCCCCCGGGTGCCCTGGCGGTCGGCCTGTGAGGCGGGACAGACGCACTCAGGAAGGAACCCAGCCCAGCGGTCCCTCCCCCGGCCCAGGCCCAAGGGCAGACACAAAGCCACTGACAAAAGAAATACGGTTTATTATTCATTTGAAATATCACATGCACTTTTAAAAATTAAAACTCTTTATTTAAACATTTCGATAGCATCTTATCAGTTTGGTGGCAGCAACAGCAGCACTACCAGACATATTTGGAAAAGCATTTACAAAAATACACTGCACAAAGTCCTATCTTGCTTCTTTAAAAATAAATTAATATTCAAAATATTTCCACCCCAACTCCCAAATTTAGTTTTATATAGGAAATTCTTATATATTTATCCTGTAATATAGGACACATCTGTATACATTTTATCCAACCGAACTGCATAGTTTCAATTCTGAGTGGAGAAGAGCTACCTAGTTTTGAGGACTGCTGAGCAATATACACAGAACTCCAGGAAACCTGTCAGCACCGTCGTTTTGTCTTTTTCTGAAAATATGACATTTATGATACACCAGGAAACTGCCTTAACCCAATAAAACTTAAATAATTTTAAGGTAAAACATCTTAACACCTGAAGTGCCTTGTGGATATCTCATTTATAAAGTCTGCTTATTTAAATAGTCTCAATATTAAATACTAATCGTAGCCACAGTGAGTCTCACAGGAACGGAAGGGGATGGCCACAGCCTTCAGAGGAGCAGACCCCAGCCCCAGCCGTGCACGTGCTGCGTGAGAACAAACGGTTCGACGGGCCTGCCATGCGGGACACTCCCGGACCCGTCACGGGTAAAGCAGTTCTGATCACCTGGAGCAGTTAGTGTTTACTTTCCAAAGAAACCCTGAAGAGCTCGTGGTTCCTGTTCACACCGTGAAGCGGAAACTCCAGGGCGACCCCAATGGGATGAGCCCAGTGGAGACCTGAGAACTCCCTTTAGTTGTGTTTACACCCAGACCATCCCCTTCCCCAGCAGACCCACTTCACCCCCGAGAAGTGAAGTGCCCCGTGTTCCGAGTGTGAGCACAGAGTGCTGATGGAAAATCTCAGTGGAGCAAACTAAGAAGAAAAACACATTTTCATCATCTGCCCACCTGGTGACGTAAAGTAACTACCAGTGCTGAGTAAAGGAAAGGAGTTCAGGACTGAAATTTGGTGACACTGATTTTTCCCTGAAAAGATAAACTATCTCTCTGCCCCCAAAGTCTGTGAGGAGGGCCAGTGAACGGCTGTGTGAGAACTTCAAGAACACGTCGAGCCTCTTAGCTTCATCTGCTTTGTTCCTGACATCAAGAAAATATGAATATAAACAGCTTTTTAAAAACAAATCCCCGAAACAAAGTAAGTGTCTTAGTGAACATACATTCAGATGAACATTGCCGACCCGTTGCTAACGGATCTGTGAAACCTAGCACTCGACACGCAGCTTCCTACGGACAGAACATCAGTGGGCATCACAGCCTTTATTGCTCCAATCCCCATGTCCTGCTGCTGGCCGTCGGCAACGCTTATTCACAGGTGACGTGTCCTGTTCCCTGTGCCCTCATCACGAGGGGAGGGCCAGTATATACAAAATGTACAACAGCGGTGAGCAGCACCCTACTTGGCGGGCTCTCCGTGCACTCGGAACCGATAGAGGCAGGTGTACTCTGGGTGGCCCCAGTTGGAGAGAATCCGAAGCTCCACTATTTGGAAGGGTCTTTCAGGTCTTTCCTGAGAGCAAAGGGGAGAGAAAAGCCTTCAGCTTTTTCACACCGACACTCCCGAGCCCGACCCCTGCCCAACCGCGCTGTTTTTAAGAGAAGTAGCCGAACTGGAATGGACGTTTTTCGCGACGTACTAGGTCGCCTAACAGCACACACAGCTCAGGTGAAACTGACTATTCCAGCACGGGAGGCGCTTGTGGGGAGCAAGACACACACCAAAAAGGCTCCCTCAGGAAGTCAGGAGCTCAGCTTCCCTCTTCCCAGGGGTCGACCTCAGCACCTCTGACAGGTCTGCTGCTGGCTGCAGGGGCCCGGGAACGGGCCAGCGTGGGCGCAGGTGCTTACCGGGACAGGGAACATCTGGAGTGACTCCCCATCTTGGTCGAACACAAACTGTCCCAGCAGCTGTCCTTCTTCTTGATACTCATTTTCTAGTCCCTGAAACCAAAACCAGATTTCCACCTGACCGGCTTAACCGCTGCTCCCCAGTGTGAGAGGGGGAATCAGTTTCCGTCGCCATGGCGATAGGGCCTCTGGAAGGCCCCACCCGCACTCAGTCCAGGGAGGGCTTCCTGCAGCCCCATAGGCCCTGAGGGAGGCGCTCCTCCCACCGCTGAGACAAGGAGATGGGCTGAACGCTGGCGCGAACTCCATGGACAGAAAGCAGAGGGTGGGTAGGTGCCAGGGGAGCTACTGTTTATGAGGGGTGGGGGCCTCAGTGTGGGAAGATACAAGGCTGGTTCTGGGTGGTGCTGGGGATGGCCACGCGGCAATGTGAGCGTGCTCACGGCCCTGGACTGCACACGTGGTAATCGGAGGTGACACATTATGCCGTGTGTCCCGCCCAGTGAGGAGGCACAGCAACCTCGCTTTGCTGTCCTCTGCAGACCGTGTGTGTTTTAAAGACCGAGGTTTGTGGGAACCCTGTGTCCAGCGCATCCAGAGACCCATTTTTCCAACCACATATGCTCACTTCATGTCTGTGTGTCGCATGTGGGTAATTCTCACAATATTCCAAACGTTTCCTTATATACAGAGGTCTGTGATCAGTGGTTATTTTGGGGTACCACAAACCACACCATTTAAGATGGTGAACTTAACTAGTAAATGTGTATGCTGACTCCTCCTCCAACTGCCTCCCCATCTCCTCGGGCTCCTTGTTCCCCGAGACACACCTCCACTGGGCCAATGATTATCCCTAATAGTCGCCTGTCTCGCTTTAAATCAAAAGCTGGAGATGATCAGGCTCGGTGAGGAAGGCATGTCAAAAGCTGAGATGGGCCCAAAGCTGGGCCCGGCCAGCAGCCAGGCTGTGAGCACGGAGAGGCTGGCGGAGGGAACCGCGAGTGCTGCCTGGTGCACACGAGGGGAAGACGAGGAACGTCTCCCTGCTGGCGTGCAGACGGCTGGACTGGTCTGGGTAGAGCCCAGGCCTAACCCAGAGCAGGGCCCTCTCTCCTCGACTTGGTGGAAGCTGAGGGCTGAGGAAGCTGGCAGAGGCCGGTCACGAGGTTCGAGGGGAGAGGCGCCTCCAAGGGGAGGCCGCACGTTCTCCAGAAGACCTGGCTAAGGCGACTCATGGAGGTGACACTCAGGCACAGCCTCGGGCAGGAAAACAGCCTGCGCTGGAGGAAGCGCCATCTAGGCTTCCCCAGCCAGGTCAGGGCGGGCTTCGAGCTTCCAGGGCAGGCTGACTCCTGCGGGGCTCACGCAGCTGTGACTTCCAGCTGAAGCCCGTGCTCACTGACCACCCGAAACCCCAAGCCTTGAGCATATGCTCGGTGCCCTGTCTGCGTCTGCAGGGCTAGAGCCGAGCCTGGACCGCAGCTCACCTGAAAAGGTTAAGCCCAGTGCTGACACCTACTGGTCAGAAAAAAGGGCTCCTTTCAAAGTATCGCTGCTCCCTGACAACGCCCCTGGTCCGCAGCGCTGAGGGCTCCGGTGTTCTCGTGCTGACACAGCGCCCACTCGGCAGCCATGGGTCAAGGCTTGATCTCAACTCTCAAGGCTTGTTATTTAAGAAACACTCCGTAAGGCTGTGGCTGCCACAGACACGATTCCTCTGACGGACCTGGGCAGAGCCACTGGGAAACTCTGCAGAAGACTTGCATAGTCAGGGGAGGAGGCCAAAATGCAACACAGAGGAGGTGGAAGGAGGCAATCCCAGCCCTTGTGGCTTCTCTGCAGGCTCCAGACCTCTGGAGGGAGCAGCTGTGGGGGTGCGGGGACAGGCTGCGGGGGCGTGGGGACAGCTGCGGGTACGCGGGGACGGCTGCGGGGGCGCGGGGACAGCAGGAAAACCAGAGTCAGAAGCGGAGCCTGAAGGTGGGGCTGCCTGGCTGCAAACTCATGATGGGACTTGAAGGGTCGAGGGGCCAACAAAGGAGCTTCCGGACGTGGAATCTCCCTGGCAAAGACGCTGCCAAGATTGTTGAGAGAGCAGCACAGGCCCTTGACTATCACAGCCGAGTCCACAGACAGGGCAGCGGCAGCGGCTCCGGTCTGGAAAGATCCACTGAGGGGAAACGTCGTTGATAGCACCGCGCACCCCAGGGATCATCCCGGAAAGAGTTGGCCCCGCAGCGAGCTACACAGGGCTGTATTTTAAGAAACTGCCACAGCCTGGCCAGCGCGGCTCAGTGGGCTGAACGTTGTCCCGTGGACTGAGGGTCCTGGTTTGATTCCCAGTAGGGGACATGCCCGGTAGGGGGCGAGCAGAAGGCAGCTTTCCGCTCTCACATCGATGTCTCTCGCTCTCCCTGTCCCTCTCTCCAGAACTCAGTAAAATCATATTTTGTTTTTATTTATTTTTTTTATCCTCACCCGAGGACATTTTTCCTTTTTGTTCTGATAGAGTGGGAGAGAGAGAGAAACATTGATGTGAAAGGGACACATCGAGTGGCTGCCCCCTGCTCGAACAACCAGGGCCGGGGACAAACTGCAACTAAGGTACGTGCCCTTAGTGGGAACCGAACCCGGGTCTCTCTAGACCGCAGGTTGACGCTCTAACCGCTGAGCCAAACCGGCCAGGGCTGAAGCAGAGATTTTTAATGACTCAAGTGGAAAGGGACTGGGGGGAGAAGGGACAGTGGTGGAAATGCCAACAACCTACAAGGAGCGATGAAGCGACCCTTGGACGCTCACACTCGGAGCAGTGAGGGCTGCCCGAGCGTCCAGTCCGAGGACGTGACTAAAGCCTTCCGGCTCGGACGCCAAGCCGTGCAGCAGAGGACAGCAGAGGGGCAGCTGCGCATGGGCTCTGTGCTGTGATGTGTGCAGCATTCACTACCCCGGGAAGATGGGGTTTCTGAAGTAGGGATAACATCTTATGAAGTGTTATCTCGACTGTATTCTTCTTTTTTTTAAATCCTCACCTGAAGACATTTTTCCATATTTTGTTCAGATAGAGTGGGAGGGAGAGAAAGGAAGAGAGACAGAGAGAAAGATCGACGTGAAAGGGACACATATCAAGTGGCTGCCGCCCACACAACCCAACCGGGGCCGGGGACAAACTGTAACCGAGGCATGTGCCCTGAGCGGAAACCGAACCCGGGTCTCTCTGGACTGCGGGCCGACGCTCCAACTGCTGAGCCAAACTGGCCAGGGCTCAACTGTATTCTTTAAAGATAGAAAGGAGACAGAAACACGCCACCACAGTAGTGGTGACGTCTCTGGGTCCTGGGATTCCAGGTGGTCCAACTTCCCCACCTCTTCCTGAAGATCCCACGTCACAGTTGTCAGAACTGCCTTTACCGAATGGTCAAGCGCCGTACACAGACCAGACCCAGTCCACACCCCGAGAAGCGCCCTCCCGGGAGCCCGACCTGCCACCCCGTGTCCACAGGCAGGACGGACAAGGGCAGCTGCACACCACAAACACACGTGAGCTGTCCACTCGCAGCGTCTTTGGGAACCCCAGTGGGGTGGGAAGGGGGCCGAGCACACTCACGTAGACAGAGAACTCCTTGGGCGCGCTGGTGATGTTGCCCGTGGGCGACAGCGTCTTCGGTATGTGCTCCAGAGTGAAGCTGGTGGGGCGGATCTCCATAGACAGCCGGACCACGAGGAAGCCCTGGGAGCCTCGGAAGGCCCAGCAGTTGCCCGGGTACATGTCGGGCTGGGGAAAGGCAGAACATCGGCTGAGCTGAGCAGGCTCTCAGCTGCTCACGCGACAGAAGCAGCAGGAGAGAAAAGGCTACAGCACCAGAATGAAAGCGTTCAATGATAAAGACTAAATATAAATAAAAACACGAGCCCTGGCCGGCTTGGCTCAGCGGTTAGAGCATTGGCCTGCGGTCCGGAGAGACCCGGGTTCAGGTCCCGCTAAGGGCATGTACCTCGGTTGCAGTTTGTCCCCGGCCCTGGTTGGTCGTGCGGGTGGCAGCCACTCGATGTGTCCCTTCACATCGATGTTTCTCTCTCTCTCTGTTCCTCTCTCTCCCTCCCGCTCTATCTGAACAAAAAATGGAAAAATGTCCTCAGGTGAGGATGATAAAAAATAACCCACAGCCCTGGCTGGTTTGGCTCAGCAGTTAAGAGCGTCGGCCTGCGGTCTGGAGGGACCCGGGTTCGGTTCCCGCTGGGGGCACGTGCTTCGGTTGCGGTTTGTCCCCGACCCTGGTTGGTCGTGCGGGTGGCGGCCACTCGATGTGTCCCTTCACGTCGATGTTTCTCTCTCTCTCTCACTTCCTCTCTAAAAAAAAAAAAACAACCCACAAACTTTTACATGGTGAAAAAGTCACCATAACAAAATCAAGACAAACTAAGGAAAAGGGTCTGCAACTTATCCATACGTGAGTCCTATCACAGAGCACCAGGACCTCAGAGAACAATGGGCAAGACGCAGACATGCAAGGAGGCCCCTCGCACGGGACAGGAGACCTGTCTGCACGGCAGGCTCACCGTGGCTCACCAGACAGACCACCTGCACCCGAAGGCGAACACCCTGTGGTGGACGCTGTGGCCAGCGCGGGCTCACAGGCCGCACGAGCCCAGGAAGCCTGACCCCGGCAGTACTGACTCTGACCCATATTCCCACCCAATCCCTGAGGTGCTGGCAAAGGGACAAGTTGACGGGCACAGGACACGGGGACCTTTCCCAGCGGCGAAGGAGCCCACGGCCCAGGCCGTGCTGACCACTACCCGCTTTCTGTGCGGCGGGGGGAGGGCAGGACAGAACGAGGCAGAGGACAGTCACTCCCGCCCTTCCTGCATTCAGCTCCAAGGTCACTCCTCTGCCTGCCCTGGGAGGAGAGACCCGGGCCCTTAAATACTCCCCGCTGCCACCCCAAGGAGTGGCCCCCAAGGACCACGCTCCGTTTCCCGGCAGCCCCCCGGCTGCTCTGTGGCCAAGGCCTCTCGAGAGGCCCCGGAGGGTGGATTTCTGGGGGTTCCACCAGTGTGGCAGCATCCAGTGCCCTACGCTGTGCCTTCTCCCAGAAGGGGGGCTCTAAGCCCAGGGTGGCCCCCGCCTGGCCCGAGGGCAGGAGCTCTTCTGCTGCTCCTGGTGCCTGCTGGGCACCCTGTCCACCAGCAGCCCGCCTGCGGGACCCGCTGCAGCCAGCAGTCCTCACGCTCCTTCCCGGTCAGGGGGCCGGCTCTCCCTGCTCACACGCCTACCAGGACACGATGGCTGTGTGCCCGAGGCCATGCAGAGCCCACTCGGCGAGTGAGGGCCCTGTGGGCTGAGGTGACGGCGGGGGCGGGGCCGGCACATCAGACCCGCTGGGCACCAGAACAAGGTAATTTAGGGCAGTGCCAGTTTAGGGACACCAACCTCATGCTCAACTTACTCCCAAACCTTGCAGATTGAGCTGTGGTTTCAAGGGAAAGGTTTGCTACCATGGATATTTTACATAAAAAGATTACTTGAATTTTCTTCCCAAAACATTAGCGTAGGGCGGCAATCTAATCTTGAGGTCAAATAAGTGTATCAGTGTCAATTCCTTCACCCTCCAGTGCTGTGAGTCTGTGACCCGTGCCTGAGGGAGGCCCCGGGAGGCAGCGCCACCCGACAGGCAGGGGCCCTGTGCAGCCTGCAGGGCTCACCCCTAAGACTGAGCGGCACAGCGACTGAGGCCTCTCACACCGGACAGGACAGGCCGGGCCGGCATCCGGCAGTCTTGGGGAGAAGGGGCTGGGGGCGGGCGGTGCTGGTTTCACGTGTCCGCTGGGGACCTGACGGAGCTGGACATGGAGCACTGCCCCCCCCCTGCGTGCACCTCACACCTACGGCAAAGCTCGAGAACGTCAGGAGCTGGTCGCACGGGCACCTGCACGGGCCAGCCTCACCTGGATCACCACGCGGGGGGACTGGGAGAAGTACCACAGCGGGATGCCGAACAGGCTGATCAGGGCCGTCTTGGTCTCGTACGTCTCCGAACAGCGAGTGCTCAGGATGCTGCCACCTTAAAGCACAGGCGGGCTGTGTCAGCGCCTGAGGCTCCCACCCCGAAACCCCGCTGCCACCTCAGGTCCCGAGCGGTCCGAACTTCCAGTTTGGAACGGACACAGATGCTCCCACTTCAGGACCAACCCCACCCTCAGTTCTGCTTCTTGCAGACCCCGTGTGGGGAGTGTGGCTGCTTCCAGGTGTGCAGTGTCCCACACCCAGGTCCTCCTCCCACCCTGCCCTGGGACCCAGCCCACACCCAGGTCCTCCTCCCGCCCTGCCCTGCGACCCTGCCCACACCCAGGTCCTCCTCCCGCCCTGCCCTGCGACCCAGCCCACACCCAGAGGTCCTCACACCCCGCCCCGGCCGTTTCAGGTTCCACCCTCAGTTGGGGCGCACGCGGGAGGCAGCCAATCGATGTTTCTCTCTCATAGGGATCTTTTTCTCTCCCTCTACCCTCCATTCCTCTCCTTGTAAAAAAAATCAATAAAAACATATCCTCAGGTGAGAATAAAAACCCCACCCCACACGCAACACCTGTGAAAGGCAGTGACCGGAGGAGCTTCAACACTGCCCCATGCAGGAGCCAGCCAGCCCGGCGCTGTGCGAGCTGCTGGATATGGCGAGGTCCGGTGCTGCCCAGCCACAAGCCGTGCTAGGCTGCCTCTTGGACTTCTGGAAGCTCCAAGTCCCTGGCCGCCGACGGGCTGCACCCGCAAATAGGTGACCTCTTCAGTCGCCAAGGCCCCGACTCACCGCCTGACTCCAGGGCGAAGTCCACCATGCCCGTCTTGTCCTGGGAGTACAGCTTCAGAGCGTTGTTGACAATGACGCGAGCTTGCTGGATGGGGAAGACAAGGCTGCATGTTAACACCAGGGCAGGGGCCAGACGTCCAGTGAGAACACACTGTCCGGTAGCTCTATTTTGGGGTGACAGGCATGGAGATGTTTGGCAAACCTCAACTTCCATCCGCACCCCCACGGGGCCACTGGGGCCTGTTCACAGGGCTCACACCCCTCCCAGGCCCTGAGCCAGAAGCCCCTGGTGCGCGCAAGGGGACAGGGCAGTGCTGTGACCCGGTGTGACTGGGCCACTCTGTGTCATTTCAGAAGTTATGCGGCCACCAGGCAGCTGGGACCTTTGGGACAAGAAGTTCACAAAGTATGAAGTCCTCCCAAGGAGCAGCCTGGACCGTCCAAATGCTCCTTTGGGCACGACGGCCACTCTGCAGCCTGCCGTGAGCACCGCGTCCCCCACACCCCGCTCAGAAGCTCCACTGTCGCCCCCACCAGGAAACAGTTTCGTCCTCTACCCACCGCTTCGGTGATCCCCGCAGCGCCTTCCTCGGTCACCGCGGACAGGACGGCCTCGGCAGGGGGCAGCTGCTTCGTCACGGAGATGTGGTGGGTGATGTTCTGCAGGATCCGCAGCTCCCACTGGCGCAGCAGCCCCTGCAGGTCATCCTTGCTGACGAACTGCGCCGAGAGCCTGCGGAGCAGCCCGTCCAGAGCGCCGTCCTGCTGGTCGGCGGACAGCAGGAGTCTGACGGTCTCTCTGACCTGGGCTTCGACCTGGAGCAACCACGAGATCAGTGCGTCCGGTGTGGCTCTGCACCCATCACCCTGGACGCAGGAGTGTCGCCCACTCCTGAACATCCGCCACGTGAGCGCCACAGGCCCCCTCCACACCGAGGGGGGCCCTCCGGACACTGCAGATCGGAGCCGGGAGCAGAGACAGCACAGAGAGTGTCACTGGCCACGGAAGGAGCTCGGCCCGCCGCCCCCACCCCCGCATGTATGAAGGTCCACGGGTGAGGTGCAGAGATGGGGGAGCCTTGTCTTCCAGAAACAAACACTGAGACCGTCCCCAGGAGGTGGAGACAGCAGCCACAGCTCACCCCCGGAGCCAGTGCGCCCTGCCTGGCTCCGCTCCTGCCCACCCGCGGCCTGCACAGCTGCTCGTCTGCATCTGCCACCCAAGTGCGGGAGCTCTGGGCCGGTGCTGGCCCACACTGCCCGCGTCCGTCACCTCAGTCCCGCCCACTGCCGCCTGCCTGGCCCGTGGAGACCTCTGCGTGCAGTGCCTGCAGGAGGGCGGCGGGACCCCACGCTAACGAGGTGACTGCCAGAGGGGGCGCAGGGGAGTCAAACTTCTCATTACTTTGTTCTAAGTTTCTAAAATCTTCAAGTATAGTAATGTGAAGTTTTTAAAAGGAAATTAACACACTTAAGATATTGCCCTGGCTGGTTTGGCTCAGCAGTTAGAGCGTTGGCCTGTGGACCAAAGTCACGGGTTCGATTCTGGTCAAGGGCACATGCCTCGGTTGTGGTCTGTCCCCAGCTCTGGGCAGGGTGGTGGAGGAGGCAGCCAGTCGGGTCCCTCTCACGTCAGTGTTTCCCTTCCTCTCTCTCTCTCTCTCCCCCTCCCCCCCTCGGTCTATTTGAAGATAAACAGAAAAATACCCTTGGGTGAAGACTAAAAAAGTAAAAGTAAACTTAAAATATCAACTCGGACGTCCCTTCACTTTCCACGGCCACTGAGCGTGCGGTCGAGGTGCTTACTTTGCTGGGGACTTCGTGGGCCTTCTCACAGCTGCTCTTCAGGGGCTGCAGAGCTGACAGTTCCGACTGCAGGAGGCCCAGCTCGCGCTCCAGCTGCGTCACCACGGACAGCAGGTGCCGCTGCTGCTCGGCCCCGCTGGTGGGGTGGGTGGGACAACAGGCTCGGTGAACTCTGGTGGGGCCGTGGCACTGAGACACGTGGCACTGCCCGCCTGTCCCACGTGCACACGAGGCCCCGCTCACGCCCAGGCGGGTGCACCTGCCCGGCTCAGGACCGGTGGGAGCTCTGGAGCCGTTCAGCGTTCTCTGTCCTCACAGTGACAGAAGAGACCTCAGAGCTCAGGCAGTACTTGTCAGCGACCCTGACAACGCTGGGTGTGAACGACTCTCACAAACGAAAGGCGTTAATGAACTGAACGTGCACGGCTTAAGGGCCAGTTCTAACCAGGGTGTGCAGGGAGCATACAACGTGAGCCCTGCAGCATCACTGTGACACTCGCTCACAGGCAGGCAGTGCTGAGCACACCCCTGGGCAATCGCCCGCTGGCCTCCTGTCGCACATCGGACACACGTCCACGAAACGGCTGTGCACGGCACTGTCCTCCAGAGACAGGCACACGGCCGGACCCCAACGGCAGACCCAGAGCACACAGCCGCCTGGGGGCCTGGGGGCCTGGGCGCTCCAGCTCCGTAGGGCCCTGCTCGAGCCCAGGAATCACTAAGCTACCCAGGGTGAAGAGACGGGCTGTGTTCAGGGTCAGGACCGGGAAAGGGGTGGGTACAGAGGAAAGCACCAGGTGCAGGGAGCAGCCGGACCCCACACTCCAGGAAGTTGCCGAGGGTCCCGGCTGCCTGGATGGCACAGACACGGCTCAGAAGAGGTGGACGGACAGGCTGCAGCCTCAGTGCCAAGGGCTCCTTCACACAGCGGGTCTGACCACACGGCGAGGCTGACCTGCGACGCCCACGGTGCACAGAGCCCAGGCCCCTGAGCAGGACACGAGTCCCAGCTTCTCTGCGCCCAAGGGCACCGTGAGACAGACCCCTCTGTCCTCGGGAGGCGCCAAAGGTCACCCGGAAAGACACATAGCTGCGCCCGCAGAGCCCCTCACTCCAGGGGCACCCCACAACAGGAATGCTGGTGTATCTGAATTCTCCTACCTCTCTGTCCTCAGCTTGGTCTGCTCCAACTCCTTCTGGATGGCCTAGAAAGTACGAGAAACAATGTTCACATGCTTACGTGCTAACTTTTCATAAAATGACGCCCTTGGCTAACCACACACACGTGCACACAAACGCATGCACACACATGCTCACAGATGCCTAGGTAGGCTGCCCGGCTCTCCGGAGTGCAGCCTGCTGACTGGCAGGGGAGTATGTGTGCCCCCCAGCACTGGGTGGGGTGTGGCCCCAAGGCACAGTGTGAGGTGATGCTCCGGGACACAGCCCACACCCTGGGCAGCCACGCCCACAGCAAGCACAGGAGGAGGACACGGCGAATTCCCGCATGAAGAACAGACTGGGGACGGTCTGCTCAGAGCACGGCCCCAGATGCACAGCTGCACCTGGGCACAGGCCTCTTCTCGCAACCAGGTGAGGCCCAGCACCAAGACACCTCACCAACCAGTGAGCTGACTCGCCAGACCCCGAGGGGCTGTGCCCTCTGCCCTCTGCCTTTACCAACATGTGAGAGTCACGGACTTTCCCACCAGAAAACTCGTGTCTCTGGGAGGCTGTGTGACAAGCAAGAGGCACAGACTCAGATCGGCCCCTGGCCGCAGGCCTCCCCTCGCCAGACACTCGGAACCCGTGAGCTGGACACCCTCAGAGGCATCAAAGCGATAAAACAGAGGCACTCGGGGAACAAGCAGAAACGTGTCCTCAGTGCCACAGAGGACGGCAGCAAACACCTAAAGGGGGCCCTTCGAGGTCTAGGCTGTGGGAACACTGACCCTGTGGACGTCTTGTTAGGAAGGCTGCTGGGCCACACTGACCAGGAGGAATTACCTCAGACTTTTCAGCCAGTTTCCCAAGAACTGCTTCCAGGTGTGAGATGCGCAGTCCGTGCTCGTGGTGGAAGGTCTCCGAGTGGGCCTTGAAAGGAAGGTGAGTGAACAGAGGGCAGAGAGGTCAGCAGCAAATACACACAACTGGCAGGTCACCCTGCACAGAACACCCCAACATCAGGGCGCTGGTCACGAGCTGGCAGAGCCTCCAGGGGGCACCACCTGGACCAGGCCCCCGCTCCGACTGCGCAGTGGCCCCCGCAGCCAGAGCTCCGGCCGAGGACCCGAGCGTCATGACCCCGTCTGCCGGGCACCGCGGGACTCTGGGTAGCCAGAGGCCGACAGCGGCCGGGTCCTCCCTGCAACCCCTGCCCTGGGCCTGCGCACCCGCCTTGGCAAACTCAGGTCTATGAGCCACGTGTGACAGGTGGCGCACTCGAGCAGCGCTTGGGGGGACACCGCCCCGACGGCCAGGCAGTGAGCTGCTCTGTGTGGCTGCTCCGGGAAGAGCAGCTGGAACCACAGGTGCCCAGGCTGGCACGCGAGGGCAGCCGAGAGCTCGGGCAGGTCTGCTCAGCTCACCGAGCTGAGTTGGCCTCACAGTGAGTTTGCACAACGCCAGGTCACCGGTTCTTTTTGTTCTAAATGCCATTTGTTTTCTTTAAAAGACACACAAACTGCACCAGAGGCTGCCAGCTGGCCCCATCGCTGTGGGGTCTCCCTGCCCAGGGGGGGTGGGGTGCCTCAGCTGAGACATGGTGCAAGAGACTACGGTCTCCGGGACCTGCACTGCCCAGACGGGGAGGCAGTGCCGAGCGGCTGCTCCTCCATGTGGAGCCACAAGCCTCTGCACAGGCCTCATTTACTGGTATCGTCACGGGAAGAACTGTCTGCTCACTTTCCTCAGAACTGACGTTTATTTTCCCAAGTGCCAGAAGGATTTGATTCAGACATTTTGCAGGGACGGAATTTGGCAGCCGTGCTGAGAAGAAACAGCCAGGCTGATTTACCCTCCCAGCCTCTCCCATGCGCAGCTGTTACAGCAGCAGGAGAACAATCCTACCCATGCCAACTGGGTCCCATGGAAACATCCACATTTTGTACTGAGACCCAGCGAGGGCCATCCGGTGCTCAGAGCAGAGGTGGAGCCCTGCAGGGCCCTGCCGTCAGCGTGTGGCCATGCCTCAGGCACACCAGCGGCAGGGAGAGATCCATTTCTTTTTCAAATACTCAGCCTCTGCCAGGCGGGGGCAGACAGTGAGTTAAACACGCAACAGCGACCGTAGTTGCTGCTGGTGCGTCCCGGGGAAGAACAGGGTGGTGGGAACACCCTGGAGCGTGCACCTGGTCAGGGGGCACACAGGTGAGGGCAGGGACCTCATAGGGTCCGGCCTGCTGAGACGGCTTCACTGACAGCCCTCAGGCTGCTCCAGCTCGGCTGACTGGGCTCTATCTGGGGCCATGGGGAGCAGACCTGTGACGCTGGGAGCTGGGGGGGTGTGTGTGTGTCTGTGGTCACCTCTGGACTGTGGTGTGGACAGTGGGTGAGGAGTGGCTGAGACAGAGACACCAGGAGCAAAGCACATTTTAAAGATTTTAATCCAAAATCTCTGCATCAGATCCTTTTGGAACTTAAGAACACGAACACCGGTTCTGAGGGAAGGGGGCTGGCAGTCCTCTCCTGGAGAACAAACAGCTCTGCACGAACAGGCCTGGGCTCCACAAGGAAGAGTAGCCCCCGCTGCACCCCCTGTTGCTCCCCCAGCTCCCCCAGCCCACTCCCAGCCCACCTGCGGCACCCACTCTGGGGAGGCCCACATGGCAGCTCCCGGTGCCAGGAAACGGACCGCCTCAACACGCACTGCCTGTGACCAGGGCTCGCGCGCACCGCCCCGCCCTCCCGTGCCCGGTCCCAGCCTCACCTCGGAGCCCGGCAGCCCACGGGCACCGATGTCCTTCAGGTGCTGCCCCACCACGCTCTGCACCAAGGACGACAGCCCCGCGCCGCCCTGGTCCAGCCGGTCCACCCGCACTTGCAGTGTCTGGAGCGAAGCAGTCAGTTCGCTCAGCTTCTGGTCGCGGCTCTGGCACTGTCCCCACAGAGAGGCCACCTGCCTTTCCACCGCACTCATCCGACTCCAGGGAGGGGCCTCGGCAATGCCCTAGGACGGGAAGACATTCTCACAGCAGTGCCGACGAGCCCGAAACCGGCATCAAGTAACCTGTGCAGGGTCAAAGCCAGAACCGAACGTGCCGGCAGAACGCCAACGATGTGGCGCAGACACGTCAGGAGTGGCCTCTCCAGGGGGTGGGCTGCGGTGGCTTCACCTCCCTACACTCCCTACGTTCTCAAAGCAACGAGTGCTTTTCTCCCAGTTAAATCGACTGAATTACGAGTTAAGTTCAAAGAAGTGTCGTTTCCACCATTTCAGAGCTTGATGTTTAAAACTACTTCCTAATGGTGCTAACTGAACGACCCTGCTCAAGTGTGAAGACTGTTCTCAGGAGCAGACCTGCCAAGAAGAGCTTCCCAACCGGTACCTCTGGAGGCTGGTTCAGGGGAGAAGTGTCCGGTGCGAACATGTCTTTGGGGTCATCGACCCTCTGGGTTCTGAGTGTGTGAGTCCAGCTGAGCACGGGCAGCAGGGAGAGGAAGCCACTGCCCTGGCCCCACAAGGAAAGGCCGGCCCCTAGAGGGAGAGAAGGCAGCTGAGGCGGCGCCCACAGCACGCACACCCACCCTCAGGCCCACACCCGTCAGCACGCGTGTCGTCGGAGGCACAGTCATGTCCCACTTACCGAGTAAAAGTAACAGCGGGATGAGGAAGATTAAAAACTTGCAAATATTTCGAAGGCACCTGGGAATAAAACAAAACACGTTCTCATGGAAGAAGCACAAGGCAGGCCCCTCCTGTACATCCCCTCCCCCCTCTGTAAAATCCACAAAGGAAAAAAAAATTAGAACAACAACAACAAGAAAACTGATCGGCCACCTCCTGCACGTCCCCGTGGGGGATCGGGCCCACAACCTGGGCATGCGCCCCAACCGGGAATTGACCCGTGGACTGAGAGGTCAACACTCAACCACTGAGCCACGGCGGTTGGGCCAGAACAGCCCCCACTGTAAACCGGGGTCCGCAGGGCTGCAGATGCAGCTACCATCCCGCCTACAAGGTGTGTCTGCACCGACACGGAGACCCAGCCTGTGAAACGGCGTCTCCCGGGCCCACGTCAACAAGCAAACACGAAGCAGGGAAGTTCCTTGGTCTGTGGCCCTGGCGGCTGGTGCTCTGGGGACTGGCCGGCAGTCAGAGGTGCCCCCTCCTGCCCCCACACGACTGTTCCGCAGGCACGGCACCGTCCTTTCTCACAGGAGCAGGTGACAGTTGAATAAGAATGTGGAAGCATCGTGTGAAACATAAAACGAAACGTAAATGCGGGACATTCACACACTAAACTACGACACGGACGGAAAGGCTGCATCAGCAACAAGGCTGCTCTCTGAAGCACACAGCTGGACGGTGTCCTTACCTTGTGAGAAGAAACACGTTCAGCCAGGAAATCAAAGCGACGACCTGGTACCACCCACTCCCTAGCCACCAGAACGCTCCAGAGGCCGCCTTCCCTGAAAGAGAGGACACCCGACAGTCTCAGGGAGCGTCCCTGAAAGCAGACCCCTCACGAGCGGTCCTGGGCAGGCCAAGCAGAAGCACCAGGAGACGCATCAGCAGACGTCTGCAGTGGGCGAGCGGGTGAGGGAGGATGGGCGTCAGGGGTGCTAGTGACAGAAACGTCCACACCCCCCACAAAGCGGCACGGACGCCCCTCAATGCACCAGGCAAGACCCCGGAGGGGGCATGCCACAGCATCGCCAGAGCCCAACACCGGAGGGACAGAGCGCGTGCAGCCTGTGGCACAGCACGAGACATGCCAGTCACGCAGGAGCGAAGCTCGGAGCCCCCGGGAGTCAGGCCAGGCGCTCAGGACAGGAGCTAACTGCCAGAGCCCGGGCGAGCGCAGGCAGAGCGGAATAACCACCTGGAGCCATCGCGGCCGACCACAGTGCCGACAGCATGGCCTGCACCGCATGCCACCCGGCCGCTCCGACCCTGTGCAGCATCTGTGTCGAGGAGCGACCTGTGACAGAGAGATGCGTGCGGGGCACACTCAGCGCGAGACGCCAGCACGGCAGCTCTGCTCAGCGACCGCACGGGGTCAATGCCAGCGACCGGAGCTCCTGCCTCTCTGGGAGTCGGCTCTTCTCAAGGGAACAAGCAAGGCACTTGACTGAGTCCCAGCAGATGCCAAAGTGAACCTGGAGCCCTGCCCCAGGCGAGCAGCCGGCCTCCCCCGCCCACCAGGCCAGGAAGCCCAGGTGGGCAGCCGCCTGCAGGCCGCAGGATTGTGGAGACAGAACGAAATGCTTTAAGGCAGATGCAACTGCACAGACATCGGGGTTGGATGACTACTAGGGGCCAAAGCGCCCGACCCCCAGCGTGCCCAGGGGAAGCCCTTGGGAGCACGAGTGCCCTGGACAGAGGATGGACACGAAGAGCCACCGCTTCGTTCTGAGGACTGCGGGAGTCAGACTGTGAGCACGTGTGCGGGCCTGACGCCGCGGAGCAGCTCCTACGCGGCTGGTTTGCCAAGGAGCACCGCTGGAGAGGGCTTTGCAAACCGACTGTTTTGTGTGTTAACTAAGTGAGGGGACAATTACCTTTGAAGCTCAGCTTTAAAAAAAAAAAGGCTGCCTGAAAAACGGGCCCTGAAAAGCAGCGCACAGGTGCCCACTGGGAGGCGCCTCCCTTCCACAGGAGACCCAGCTGCACGGGGCGGGGCAGACACGGCTGGAGCACGGCGCCCCCCACCCCGGGGCGGGGCCGCCAGCCTGCTCCCAGCCTTTCATTTCACCTCGGGTTCTTTCTTCTCACAATCGATTTATACTAAACACACTTGCAGAGATGTTTTCAAGAGAGACAGTCTCCACGGTTTAAAGCAAGGTTAACGCGAATCGTGCCTGTTTTTAGCGAGCACCTGGGTCCTGAACACGGACAAGAAACAGAAGTCTGCGAAGAGCACGGAAAAGCAGGACAGAGCAGCACGAGAGACAACCTGCACGGGAGAAGGTGGGCCACGCGGTGCCTGCTGCCCTTCCTGTCCCGGACACCTGCACCTGGCTGGCTGCGTGTGCTCCGAGGTGCTCCGTCCCCCGAGCGGCTTCGCCTGTGGGTGGTGGTGAGAGCAGCGAAGGGTACAGGTTAACACGCAGACCACGTCCGTTCAAAACTGTGCACAACAAGGCAGTGTGAAAAATTAGGAAACTCAATTATGAAAAAGAGAAGAAACTCAAAGCAAATGCAACCTGGTGGTTAGTAGCTTCTATTATTCAGGGTTTAGGCAATAGCCCCCAAGCCCCCCACTCAGTGAGAGCCACCCAGCTGATAAGAACGACGCCCTGTGGTACCGGTGACCTCCTGTGCGCTGGTGGGAGACAGCGTGAGCAGACTGCGTGTGAAGCGCAGCTGCACTTGCGCAGCGACTCCTGCTCACACAGCGGTGACCATGCCTCTCAGAGCCTCTCCACTGCCATCGGCCCACGGCCATCGGAAGGGGCTGCAACACGCAGCAGAGGCTCAGGAAGCCCAGCGCTGCTCAGGCCCCGGGGCCGGCCACCGTCTCAGCCGGTTGTGGACGGCGCGCGGCAGCGAGCACAGGTGGCAGGGCGCTGGCTAGGAGAGTCCCAAGCCCCCTTGGCCAGCAGCATGCCCACCGACACCACGCAGAGATGGCCCTGAAAGTGCTCTGAATGTCCAAACGCCGTTCAAATAAATGTTTTGCTCTAAAAAGTAGAGTCAGAAGTTAAGTTCATTAACTTTTTACTTAAAAAGAGACGTAAAGCCCTGGCCGGTGTGGCTCGGTGGGCTGCAGCATTGTCCTGCGCACCCGTAGACTGAAGGAGCGATTCCCGGTCCGGGCACACGCCCAGGCTCTGGGCCTAACCCCCAGGGGGGCGTGCGGGAGGCAGCCAATCCATGCTCTCTCCCTCTCCCTTCCTCTCTCTCTCAAATCAATAAAGAGGGAAAAAAAAACCTCTCCTCCCTTAAAAAAAAAAGGTCAATGAGCGTATCCTGCGGTGAGGACTTAAAAACGTTTAGACACTGGTCAGCTGTCAGAACCCTCGCCCGCTCCTCGAGAGAGCCCGAAGCACCGTCTGCGCCAAGACCGCGAGCGGAGATGAGAACGCGCCTCGCAGGAAAGCTGCCTTCCCCACCGCGAAAGCGTTTGGTGGAGAAAGAGAAAAAATTATTTAAGTACCTTTTAATTCATGGCTTTCTGACTTATAGCTTTCTGATTCACGATCTTTTGATTCATAGCTTTTCAATTTGTAATTTTCTGATTCATAATTGAGCTTCATTAAAACCACTTGGAAAAGTTGAACTAAGAATGATGACAAAGACGACGAGGTGTACGTGGCCAGCCACAGAATCCTATCCACGTAGAAAGACGCACCGCCTATTAAAAAACCGTGAACACAGTTAATTTCCTCCCAGAAGCCATCGCTGCCCCCCGATAAGGTAAGCCGGACAGCCAACTTGTTCATTTGCGGCAAAGCAGAGCCAGCGTTCCAAAGGGACACCAGGAGCACCACTGGGAGCCCCGCAGGACAGGCGGCAGGGACACACCTCTCCCCAGCAGCCTCACCCACGGCGCCGGCGCCCGGCACGGCTCACACTGCCACACTCAGACCATCAGCGGCCACCCCGACTGCCGGGAGGACTGCCAGGTGAGACCAGCCACACCCGCAGGACGCTGCCACAGCACCGGCGGGACGTGTCCCACCACAGAACCGCGGGCCCGAGGACCGCCAGTGCCCAGGTCAGAGAGGCAGTGAGACCCCGATGCTCTCTCTCGGTCCACAGGTGGGATGATGCTCCGCAGGGACACTTGCTGGACGTTTTCACTCCGGAACAGTTTCTTCGCCAGCGGCAGATGAAACAGGCTCACTGCTACTGCTCAGCGCACCGGAGCCCTGGAGACCGGCCTGGTCTGCCCAGGAGGCGCCCTGAGACCTGCCAGCGGGCTGCCCGACTCAGCGAGGCCGCGGTGATGTCTGAGCTGGCGTAGTTTCAAAGGAACCAAACCAGAGCCTGTTACAAACAGCTCCTGGGGCCGGCCCCTCCTGCGCCCCAGGCTCCCTCAACAGGCTGCACAAGTGGAGCCATCTACTAAGAGACAAGGCAGTGCAGAAACACTGAAATCCCAATGTCCACCCATCGCCCTGCAAACTTTAAAGTACGAAAACGTGAAGGACTGGCAAGAGACTACGGGCTGGGGACCCTCGCGGGGCCGCAGGGGACAGAGACGGGGTCAGGCCTGGGAAGCCGCCGGGAGGCCTGTCTGCAGTGGACTCCTCAGCGGCAACTGCAGAGCCCCGGCTGGAACAGGTTCTGAGCAGACCTGAGTTGCCTGGGTGGTCTCTTCAGACCTTCGAGCCCACCACCCACAGCCAGGTCTGGCAGGAGTAGGCTGGGCTCCAAGGCTCCCCGGCGACGGCCCACGGCGCTGGCCGGGCTGCTGCTCCAGTCCCAGGGCCTGCTCACCAGCCACCACGAGGCAGCGGACCCTCCGGCCTCCCTTCTCCAACAATGAAGGCTGCTTCAACAAGCAAAACTCTGCTCCAGGCCTCCAGGACAACTGGTACCTTTCCAAAGGAATGACCCCTTTTCTAAGTTAACTTACACCCTTTATTGGGGGACCTCAGTGCTGCCTTAGGGAACACCGAAGAGTCTGTCTTCAGATACCAACTCCTGGCGACTTCTGTGCGAATTGTAACATGTAAGCTGCCGCAGCCCAGGGAGGGACCGAGGTGGCCAGGGTGCGGGGCCCTGCTCTGACAGCCGTGACCGTCTCCAACCTCAGAGGCTGCTGAAGGAGCCCCCACCCTGGGGGTGCACCTTGTCTGCGTAGGGCTGGCCAATGCCCAGGAGAAGGCGGTGAGGCCGAGCGCACCTGAAGCTATGCATGCCCACAGCCCACCCTGCGCCCTGTGCTGGGCACCGCGGCCAGCCCAGAGCAGGCGGCTCTCACGGGGGCAGGAGGGAGTGTTTACTGGATTTAATTTTCTCCCTCGCACATTTGTACTTCATGAACATTTAACTCAAGTAATTAGGAATAGTCTCTATGAGAGTAATTAATTATCTCTGGCCGGTTATGCTCAGCGGTTAGAGCGTCGGCCCACGGACCAATGAGTCACAGGGTCCCTGGGTTGAGATTCGTCTCCGGCCCTCGTGTGGGAGGCAACCAGTTGATGTGTCCCTCTCATGTCAATGTTTCTCTCTCTCTCTCTATCTGAACAAAAATGGAAAAAATATCCTCGGATAAGGATTAAAAAAAAAAGAGTAATAAATTAGTTGGTCCTAAAGATCTCTGTTACAATCTAAAACATCGAGGGTGTTGAGGACAAAATCGCAAAGGCAATAAAATAGAACTTGTTACACTTGAAATTAATACAAAACAATACTGAACGTGAACTGGAACAGGGAAGTGACAGTAAAAACATAAACAGACACGAAGCTGTTTCCTCCCCTCAGCCAGGGGACTCGGCGATGGCTGTCCAGAGGCCCCCAAACCCACACTGACACCACCGGGTGTCCTGGCCCCAGAGACGCCCCCTCAGCACAGACCGAGTCAGGAGGCCGCGAGCAAGCGTCCCTCAGATCTACGGCAACGTGCTTTCGCCAAGGCCAAGGCCATGTTCGAGGCACAAAGGCTTCAACCGCAGCCCCCCCATGAGTGATGAGCCCAGCTCGGCTGCCCATAGGGTCCTGAGGACAACGCCTGCGGGCAAGATGCCTGAGTCCAGATCCCAACCCCACCACCTCTCAGCAAGGGGCACAGCACAGCAGCCTAAGCCCTGGTCCCAGGGGCTGCAGGCAGGGTCCGGGAGACACTGGGCAGAGCCCGGACAGAGGCAACACGGGGCGATGCCATCCTGTCAGAGAGGAAGTCCTCCGCTGAGCCTGCCCCTCCCCTCCCAGCTGCACCCCAGCTGCGCGGTCGTGTGGTGTCAGTGCCACGAGACAGAAGCAGAAGCGCCAGCAGCCGCCACAAGACCCGTAGGCCGGTGCCATCGTCCACTCTGCCATCACCTGAGAAATGTTAGCTGAGTGGCCTGGCGTGCTGGACACAGCCAGGAGCACAGTGACCACAGACACGGTCCTGGCCTCCTATGCTTCCCCGTCCCCATCGTCACCTGTGGAGGTGTCCTCCAGCCCCGCCAGCAGACCAGCCCCGACGGAACACTCTGAGAGCCAAGGGCTTGGACACAAGGTGACGCACGCTTCGAGTCGGGCTCCCTGGTCCCCACGCGCCCACAAGCGGTGCCCATGGGCAGAAGTCAGGGCTGGTGTGGAGGGGACGCGGGAGGGTCTGCAGTCCTGAGCCACAAGCTCCAAGGCCTGTCCCAGCAACTGCCGCCGGGACTCTGACGCCCACCTCTGCTTGCCCATGGCCGTGGCCGCACGCGGGGTCCACGAAAGGAGAGCTGCCACCCCAACAGGCCAGTGCTGAGCTACCCCGAGGCCAGGGCAGCCGCGGCCCTCGCCCCACCGGCGCCGGCGAAGGCACCACCTGGAGCGGTTCCCGGTCACGAGTGCGTCCGCAAGCGCCCGCAGTTCCACGGGTTCACCTAAGCTCGCGTTCACAGACTTGCAGACACTCCCAGGAACAGAGACACTGACCACGTGACGTGGAAGCTCAGAGATGAGAAGGAGCACAGCTGACGTGTGGGACAGCCTGAGCGTCCACAGGACACCCTGAGCAGCGTCACCGCCAGGTCTGTGAGAGGGCGGCTCCGGGCCATGGAGTCTCCTCTCGGCTCCTGCACCAGCGGGACTTACGTTTCTGACTCCTGTCCCTCGAGTACACCCTAGAGGTGGCGCGGTGGGAGGCGGGGAGCCCGGGCAGCGTGGCATCGCGCTCGGACAGCAGGCTGCAGGCCCTGCAGGTGTAGCCGTTGCTCTGCGCTGCGTCGGCGGCCAGGTCGCCGTTTCCCTGACTGACAGCTTTGTTTCCACCTGGAGGTTCAACAAGGAGAGGGAGCCGCTTACCTTGGTCCAAGGACACTTACCCAGAACTTGTGTCTTAAAAAGCAGGGGGAGAGAAAGGACTGAAATCGTTACCTTTGAGATCTCCATCATCATCAAGACCTAAAACACACACATGTTTGCAATTGAGCTCAAATGATCAAAAGAGATCAAAACCCCCTCAAAAAAGCAAAGGTTACAATGGTTAACAAATCGGCATTTAGCACTAGTCGAGATTTATTTCCTGAAATGCCTAAACGAATGCAGGTTTCTCCAGGTACACACATGCTCTCTTCTGACCGAGGTGGAGGACGTCTGTGGTGAGGACACACCCGCGCACCCGCCCGCGGCCCTGTCTCAGACCCAGCATCCCGAGCACGTCCCGAGCACGCCCCTCGCGGCTGGGGAGCTGCTCCTGCGGCCGGGCAGACGCAGCACGGCTCCCACACGAACTTCGGAGCCACTCTGGGTCCGGGTCTTCTCCCAGGGGCTGGCCAGGACACCCGGGCCCGCAGCAGCCCTGGGCCGGCAAAGCTGCCATTCACGGCTCCATTGCCAGCAGCCAGGTCACACGGCTGCCGCCAGTGTCTCCACTACCTCCGTGTCTGCTCTGGGCCTTTCCCAGTGATGCAAAACCCTGTGCCTGCCACGCTGAGCGCCCTGGGCACCGCCAGCAGTTCCCGGCCTGCCTGAGGCCGCTTCCCGCTGCGCTGGAGTCCAGGAAAAGCCTTGACCTGACGGCAGTGACCTCCCCCCTTGGAAATAACCAAACTGTAAGCAACTCACCCCAGAAGTGGTCCACTTTGGTCTGCTCTTGGATCAGAGACTCGTCCAGCACAGGCGGCCGCAGACTGGCGGAGCCGTGCCCGCTGCTGCTCTGGCCGGAGGTGTGCTGCCTCGAGGCACGGCCCTCGCGGAAAGCCAGCCTGCTCGCACCGCTGCGCGTCTTCACCGTTCTGGGAAGGAAGGGATGGGAACAAGTTCGCGCTTCTACCTGCAGGTGCAGGAGCACAAACCCTCGGAGCAAACGTGCGTTTCTGAGGCAGCGTGAACACCACTGCTCTGGAAAAGGCCAACGCTGGGACCAGAAAGCTCCCCTCACGCTGCAGCAGGCACCCTGCTGGTGTGGCACCATGGTTCGAGCACCAGCCTGCGGACCGAGGGTCATGGGTTCGATTCCTGGTCAAGGGCATGTACCTGGGCTGTAGGTTTGATCCCAGCCCCAGTCAGGTCGTGTGGGAGGCAACCTATCAATGTGTCTCTCTCACACTGATGTTTCTCTCCTTCCCACCCTTCCATTCTATCTAAAAATCAATGAAAAAAATATCCTCGGGTGAGGATCAACAAAACAAATGTTATAATAATATTAATAAAAAAAACTGTAGTGGTTAAAACTTAAAATAACCTAAGTATAAAAAAAAAACACTGGGCCTGGCCAGTGTGGCTCAGTGGTTGAGCGTCGACCCTGCACCAAGAGGTCACCTGGTTCGATTCCCAGTCAGGGCACGTGCCCAGGTTGTGGGCCAAATGCCCAGCGGGGGGTGTGCAGGAGGCGGCCAATCGATGTTCTCTCATCCATGTTTCTCTCTCTCTCTCAAATCCATAAAGAAAAATATTTTTAAAAAACTACGATTTCTAAGTCCAACGCCCTCCCCTTTAAGCCGAGCAACTGCACACGCCCCTCACGCCTCAGCCTGTGAGGACGGCGTCTGCGCTGGCATCTCGTGTTTCTGCATCCACACTGTGCGGAGCCACCGCAGCTCACGTGCTCCTTCGGGAACCTCCCGGGTGGAGGGCAGACCTTCCTTCTCTGAGCTCCGAGGCGACTGCAACACACACGGGCCGTGCAGACACCCCAGCGGGAGCGGGGGCTGCAGATGCCCTGCCAGCCGGGCCGCGCCATCGCACGCCCTCCAACCGCCACCAGGGACGGGTCCCTCTCACGGAGTGGCCACAGGAGACTGTCCTGTACACTGTTTCTCTGATGCACACGGGCCGTGCCCACTTGTGCCCTCCTGGGTAGGGGGTGCTGACGGCTGCGCCAGGCCACGAGCACAGGCAGGCTGTCCGTGCACACGGTTCAGGGAACAGACCACAGAGACCAAAGGCCCCCAAACAGCCTCTGGTGGCACAGCTGGGGGGGACCCTGCCCACATGACAGGTGCCCACACCCTCCCCAGGCTTACCTACAGAACACCAACCCGACAGCCCCCACATCCCAGAGCCCGTGTCAGCCGCATCCGGAGTGAGGCCACGAGGCCACTCATGGATGCTGTCAGCGCCCTCACTCCAGGCGTGGTCTTACCGGCCAACCAGGTGGGTGTCAGCATGCGAGTGCACAGGAGCAGGGCTCACCTGGCCGCTCTGTCCTGCAGGGAGGCTGTGCTGCTAGGTCGGGAGTCAGCGTCCCCGGCCCGGCCACCCTCAGTGCCATATGCGCTGGTGGCCAGGCGCAAACTGCGGCGGGACATTCTTGGAGAATCAAACACGGGGTCCAGTCTGTGCTCGGTCTCGAAATCCAGTGCATCGGAAGAGTAGCTCGAACTGGAAGGAGACATGCAGAGATCAGGTGCTCACGGCGCCGCTCCTGAGACAGACTGGGCAGGCGACGAGCAGAGCTGACGGTCAGGCTCAGAGACAGCGGCACCGGCCGGCGCCTGAGATCTGTCCCCGTGCCAGCTAGCAAGTCCAGAGCTGACCCAAGATCCTCTCCGACATGCCGCATTCACGAGAACCCACTATGGCAACCCCGTCACTACGCCTGACAAAGCAGCAGGCGCGGCGACCCCCGCAGCAGGGGCTCCCACAAGCCACTGAATGAGCCCGTGTGAGCGGAGAGGTGAAGTGACTGGACCATCAGCGCTTTGCCGCCAGCTCACCGCCAAGCTGGAGACACACCGACACACCCACGGCACCCATGGGGCTGCCACACACCGAAAGCCGCGTCCTCCCCATCTGCACCCCGAAGGCCCTGCTCCTCACACCCATTACCACCTCCGCCCCTCACTTCCACCCTGGCTCTCGTCCTCAAGGCCCTACACCTCTCCCTCAGAACGAGCAGCATCTCCGGCTAGGGAGGACCAGCCGCACTGCCAGGCTCCAGCACCGGGAGCCCTCAGAACACCGAGCCGCCGCCCCCGTCTGGACCTTACTGCCAGGCACCTCTTCTCGCGGTCTTCAGCCCCTCTCTCCGGGCTCCTTCCTGTCAGCGTCTAGACGTACTCTCAGCTCTCCCCATGGTAAAGTGAACATATACACACACAGCCCTTTTTCCTCCCTCATCAGCTAGCAAGTTGAAAAGGTGTCTATGCCAGGCCGGGGAGGCTCAGTGGGTTGAGCACTGTCCCGTGGGCTGAGAGGTCCGGGTTTGATTCCCAGCCAGGGCACATCCCCCGGGTGGTGGGCTCCATCCCCAGTAGGGGGCGTGCAGGAGGCAGACAATCAATGTTTCTCTCTCACATCGATGTTTCTCTCTCTCTCTGAGAAAAAAAATCAATAAAAACATATTAAAAAAAAAACGTAAAGTGTCTAAACTCACTCCTCACCAGCTTCACCCCACAAAGCCAGGCACTGCCCAAGGCCAGCCTGTCAGTGACTCCTTGGCTGAGCTCACCGCGTGCCCGGGCCTCGTTCTGCATGGCCTTCCAGCAGCATCTGACTGGCTGGTTCCGCCCCCCACCCCCAAATACTCTCCTCTTGAAGAACCAACTGCCGTCTCCCCCACCTTTCCTTCTGCTTGGAAACCAGCTTCCCCAGAGGCTGGAACGGCATCCCCCACTCTCCAGCCTGGCCTGCAGCCTGTGTGGCAGCCACATGACTGGAGGCCTCCAGGGATTCCTGGGAGAGCCCCTCCTGACCAGGGCGCGCCCCCCCCCAAGGCTGCCAGGCCCCACCCACAAGAGGTGACAAGACTTCAGTGAGTGGGGCAAGAGGACAACACTGACCAACCTCCACCCGAGGGGAGAGATAGCGGACACCACGCACCTCTGCTCAGAATGCAACCGGAAGTAACATCTGTCCCGTCGCCATGCCAACACAGCAACGGAAACCTGGAGCTGACCAAATCTCTACATCTAGCTACAGTTACAGGAAACACAGATTCAGACTTAAGACATAAATAACCCAACAGAACATGGGTCTTCTGTTTAGGGTGATGTTTCGTTTCTTTTTTCTTTATTGATTTTAGAGAGAGGAAGGGAGAGGAAGAGACAGAAACATCGATGAGAGAGAACATCGACTGGCCGCCTCCTGCATGCCCCCCACTGGGGATCAGGCCCACAACCTGGGCATGTGCCCTGACGGGGAATCGAACCGGTGACCTCTTGGTGCAGTGTCGACGCTCAACCACTGAGCTACATCAGCAGGGCAGGCTGATGTTTAACAGTTGTTTAAAAAAAAGATCTGGAAATGGAGCCCTGACTCAGGTCTGACGGACTGAGTAGCTGCCGGCAGTCACCATAAGCGGCCCGGGCTCTGCCACAACCCTGGTCTCTGGACGGCTGTGTCTGACGCGGCACCTTTCAGAGACCCGCGAGGCAAGAAGGGGCCGGGGCCGAGGCCGGGAAGCAGGCGAGGCAGAGGGCTTCCTCCTCCTCCCCAGACCGCCGAGCTGTCTGACAGCCCCCACAGCAGGAGCCCTTCAGTGACGTGGATGGAAGACGGGTTGCTGGAGGGGCCTCCGTGTCCAGAGACTGCTCAGAATGCAGACAGGCAGGGCCATCAGCCAGGAGCCAGCACTGGCAGTGAGGGGCCGGGGATGACCAGTGAGCCGATGTGGGGGGCAGGAAGGGGGAGGGTTTGAAGGACCAGGCAGAGAGGACAACTTCTCGGAACCCCCCAATTCTCCACACTGCAGTGTCCTGCCCGGCCCTGCACAGCCCAGGTCACGCTGCTCCTGGTGAGCGCTCTTGGCCGGCTCTCCGCTGCCCTCACTCAAGGCCCAGCACAGCCTGCACGGCAAACCTGCCCGCCCTCCTCGCTGCTCGCACCCTCACCCGCCTCGCTCCAGTCTGCCTCGGGGAGGCCATCAGCTACTGAGATTCACAGAGACCCAAACACAGGCATCTTTCTAAACTGTATCTAGCCCGGCCAGTGTGGCTCAGCAGCTGAGCGCTGTCCCATGCCACAGATGGCTGGTTTGGTTCCTGGTCAGGGCATGTGCCCGGTGTTGGGCTCGATCCCCAGTAGGGGGCGTGCAGGAGGCAGCAGGTGGATGTTTCTGTCTCCCAGTCCCTTCCACTTTCTCCAAAAAAATCAATAAAAACATACTAAAAAATAAAAACTATATTTAAAATAGGTTGTGAGAGCTAAAACACTAGTGAGAACACTACTGTCACACTCCACAATGCGGGAGAGGGAACGGTTTACCTGGGCGCCCCCTCGGTTTCTCCTACAACATGTAGGACGTTTAATACAAAAAAGTGTGTCACTACGGAAAGTGTGACCTGATCCAGATTGTGAATACAAATCATTCGATGTGAGATTTGATTCATGCTGTGAAAAGTATTCTCCTTAAATACCCTCCAATTCTGTTCAAGCCTCAGGCACACGGTAGCCAGCGAGCAATCGCGGCCCTGAGCACTCTGCCAGGTGCGAAGTTTGCCAGCTGCCGGTCACACCCGAAGCAACCCAGCACCGACTCCCGGTGCACTGCCCACAGCCTCATGGCGCCTCAGCCCACCCCCATCACCCTTCCTGCTGGGTGCACTGCAGTGCCAAGGACCAGGCGCAACCTGTACGACTCAGACTGCGGGCGTCAGTGCTACATCAGAACACGAGTAAAAGCAGAAAACCAACCACCTGACCAAGTCCTGCTCCGTAAACCTGGGCCCCTCCAGGGCAATCGTTCCCGACAGTTCTGTCAACTATGAAACACCCAGCCTTCAGTACAAAACACAGGCCCCACCCTGACCACAGAGCTCAAGACCCCGCCCTCAGAGTGGGCGTGAAACAGCGAGGTCTGCAGTGAGTCATCGCTGAGTCATGGCTAACATGGTTTCAACACCCTCACAAGTTCCAGGTCAGGGCAGTCACTCCATAAAGCCACAGGACAATGGAACGTTTACAGGTGTCTCCTCTCTCTGCACACGACAGGGCTGCGAGCCCGCAGAGCCTGCTGACTCCAGGGCACTCGAGAAGTGACGGGACACACGCTCACCTGAGTGCATACGTGTAGCCAGTGTTCTCGGGCACACACTGAGGCGGCGCATACGTGTGGAGCCGAGAAAAGTCCATGTCCACGACCTCACATCATCCTGCAGCAGGCGGGAGGGAGCAGGCAGGGCGTCGGGTCAGGGCAGCGTCCGCCGCAGGGGCAGCCGAGCTCGCAGGCCGGCCGCAGGACGATCCAACTTGACCACAGCAAAGCCAGTGGGGCAGCTCTTTGCTTCACCTCTAGAACAAGGAGAGAAGTTTCCTGTGATGACGAGTCACATGCAGGGACACAGAAGCAATACAGCCGCAGAAGCACCTGGGGAGCGGGGAGATCGCTGACTGAGGACGAGGAAACGGGCTTCCCCCCACTGTTTGCGATGCCCCTCCCCAAAGACCGAGCACCCATTCTAACACAGCTTTAAGTTCCTGAAGGTGTCAAATACTCTCATTCTTCTCAAGTTTGGTTGTTAATTAAAATGAAACAGATTTTTACTGCATGGTCACGATGCTCTCCCGTGCTTCCCTAGACAGCAAAGCTTCCAGAGTCACAAAACTGGGGGATAACAAACAAGCATAAGGATTGTTTATACTTTTATCTTTCCCTTCAACAAAAGAGATTATTTTTAAATTAAAAAGTGTTGCCCTGGTTGAGGTCATGTGGGAGGCAACCAGTCCATGTGTCTCTCTCACATCAATGTTTCCCTCTCTCTCCCCGCCCCCCTCTCTATCTGAAGATAAATAAAAAAATATCCTCGGGTGAGGATCAAAAAAAAAGTGTTGAGCACACTATTTTTCAGGCTGTCATCTAGATTTCTTTGGAGCCCTGGCTGGTTTGGCTCAGTGGTTAGAGCGTTGGCCCACGGACCAAAGTCCCGGGATCGATTCCAGCCAAGGGCACGCACCTTGGTTGTGGTTCATCCCCGGGGTCGTGCAGGTGGCAACCAATCAATGTGTCTCTCTCACATGATGTTTCTCTCTCTCTCTCCCCCTCCCACCCTGTCTGAAGATAAATGTAATAATATCCTCAGGTGAGGATTAAAAAAAAGGTTTCTTTCCAACGACTCAAACTTTCCTCTGATTATATTCCTTCTCTCACACACTCCAATTTTTAAAAACACTCTTAATAGTCATATGAATCATAATCTAAAGGAAGATAAAAGTAAAAATATAGACTATCCCACTCAAAAAATATCTATGTATAAATGACTGATTTCTACAGAAACAGAACAACCCTAAAATTTGTATGAAACCACAGAAGACATCGAATGCCCAAAGCAATCCTGAGAAAGAGCAAAGCTGGAGGCATTATGCTCTCTGATTTCACACTTTTTCAAAAAGCTACAGTAATTAAAACACTACGGTACTGGCATAAAAACAGACGCATAGATCAATGGAATAGAGACCAGAAATAAACCCACGTGTACATGGATCAATTAATTTACGACAAAGAAGTCAAGAATATACAACGGAAAAAGAACAGTCTCCTCAGTAAATGGCTGAAAAAACTGGACAGCCTCATGTCAGAGAAGGGAACTGGCCTGCCACCTGACACCACACAATCAACTCAAATCGGAGAGACCGAAACACGGAAAGAAAACATAGGTGGGAAGCTCCATGGCACAGGTCTTGGTGATTATTTCCTGGATATTACTCCAAAAGCAAAAGCAAACGAGTGGGACCACATCAAATTAAAAAGCTGCTATCAACAAAATGAAAAGGCAACCAATCAAAAGGGAGAAAACATTTACGAGTCATGTATCTGATAAGGGGTTAATACCCGAAATACATAAAGAACTCATACAACTCAACAGCAACACAACGGACAATCCAACTAAAAAATGGGCAGAGGACTCGAGCAGACAGGTCCCCAAGAGGACACGGGTGGCCCAGAGGGACACGACAGGTACTCAGCCTCACTCGTCAGCAGGGACAGGCAACCAAGGCTGCAGGAAGGTGCGGTCCCCTCGCACCTGTCAGGATGGCTGTTACCAAAAAGACAAGAAACAACAATGTTGGCCAGGACGTGGAGAAAAGGGAACCCCTGTGCACTGTTTGAGGGAATGTAAACTAGTGCAGCCACTATGAAGACAGGACGGAGATTCCTCAAATAATTTACCATATGACCTAGCAATTCTGGGTATTTATCCAAAGAAAATGAAAACACTAACTCAAAAAGACGTATGCACCCTGTATTCACTGGTACAATAGCCAAGACAAGGATGCGGCCAGGTGTCCACCAACAGGTGAGGAGAGATGCTGAGGTGCCTGTGTGTGTAAGGGAGCAGTCTTCAGCCAGAGAGAGGATGGAATCTTGCCTCTGCAGCAGCATGGACGCACAGCTGGTGCATTATGCTCAGCGAAATGACCACACGAGAAAGACACAAACCATACAAACGTTCTCTCTTACAGAAAATACAGGTTTAAAAACTTGAAAATAAATTAGAGAACAGACTGGTGGTTGCCAGAGATGGGAGGTGGGAGGCAGGAAAAAATGGGTGAACCATTTGGGTTTATTTTTAAATAGAACTTTAAATGGAATTAAATAATGACTGGTTTCCGTAAGCTCAGAGAAATGCACTCCACGCCATTTGGGACGGCCCACTCTGACACCCCACTCTGACACCCCGGGCACCAGCAGAAATGAAGGCCGTTGTTTACATACACAAACTGTGCTGCACCTGCTTCTTCAACAAATACAACACGGCATTTTAAAGAGCACCCACCATTCATGGTCCCTCCCAGGACCCAGCCCACTAGCACGGCTTGGGCTCACCTGGCACTCATCAATGTCCAGGCACCTCCTTCTGCAAATGATTAACTGATGGGTACGCCCAGGTGTCTGTCCACTGCTTGTGCAGCCCCCCCACCACCACCACGTGGCTCAGACGAGCAGATCCAGGGGTCCTGCCACCCCGACCAGTCTGTGGTCTCAGCCCCTCACTCACTGCAGCCCCGCTCCGAGCTCCCCCCACTCGGTCAAGGCCTGCTCTGCTCTCACCTGGTGGGAAGCCAGAGCCACGTCCAGCTGCACGGCCTCCCAAGCTGATGTCCAGCAGAGCCACACCCAGCTGCAGGGTGAATGGCTGGTCCTCAGGATAACTGACCCATGGTCACCCTGTTGAGTTACTCAGAGACTAACAACGCCCAAGTGTCTAACTCCACTCCCACAGCGAGTGATCTTCCCCTTAGTACTTTACCTGCATCACTGACCATCTCTAAACCAGTTAACTAATTCCTACCAGCTGCTCTACAGCTGGTTCGGGTAGGTATTAGGGGAACTGAGCTCCCTTGGACTGGCTTACAGAAGTCAGTGCTACAGACCAGCAATGGCCCTTAGTTTAAAGACCAGGGCTGTGACATGAAGGCATCAGAGCACCCAGCTAACAGGGACAGAGCCCCCCGTCGGGGCTCAGACCCCAGCTCTGTCCCATGAGCCAGCTGCCCGAGGTCAGCCCTAACCCAGGAGCTGGTCTGGTGAGGAGGACCCAGGCAAGAACGTGAACCTATAGCCTTTACTTTGATTATTTATCTATTTATTTTAACTGTAAATGTATTTTTAAATGTTTTTTTACTGATTTTTCAGAGAGAGAAACACTGATTGGCTGCCTCCTGCACGCCCCCTACTGGGGATCGAGCTTGCAACCCGGGCATGTGCCCTGACTGGGATGGAACTGGGACCTCTCAGTCCATGGGACAACACTCAATCCACTGAGCCACACCGGCTGGGCCAGACTTTACTTTGAAAGGTTACATTAATATGATCTCACACTTTCACCCCTAGAAGAGAGACACTGGCTGACTTCGAACACACAACTAATTTTTCCAGAGGTGCAGGACCAGCTGTGACCACATTTTCCAACCTGCCCTTCCCGTCAGAGACGTAGGCAAGGCTGGGCCAACACCACCTCTAGCCAGGTTTAAGGCAGGCCTTACGCCATGATTAAAGAACACTTAACTTCTTGTCTCTGAAATAAAATTCTATCAAAGAACCAAGGGCCACTACTGGTCACGACAAGGTCACAGCAGTGACCGGCTCAAAAACCCTACAGGCGGCAATAGGAGACACGGCCAAGTGACAGACACAGTGGCAGGTTTTTGGTAAAACAGCTACGAAGCTAATGACAGGCCAGAGGGAACACCAGGAGCAGCAGCGGAAGGAAGCCGGGGAGGCCAGCGGTCACCCTGCACACTCAGCGCCACGCAGCACAGGTGTGTGGGCTGGGTGGCCAGGCTGCACGACTCCCGTGGTCACGTGTCCTGCGTCACCTCTCCAGCAACACACCTCAGGACGCAGCACCTCCTGCTCTGCCCGGCTCAGATGAAGTGATGCATGGGAGGCGACCACAACCCACGCTCCCTGGGAAATCAGCTTTAATCAGTACAATGAAGCCACACGGCCTGTGCTTTAAATATAAAAAAAGAAACAGATTTGTGTGCTGAGTTAGCAACCTGAGATGGAGTCACTCACCACTGGCCAAAACGAAAGTCCGCTGAGCGTCCGGGACGTCCGGACTCAGCCGGCAGGTCAGGATGAGGCCAGCTCCCGCCCTCTCGGAAGCGTATCTGAAATGCTTCTACCACAAACCAGACACGAACGCGAAGCATTTTCAAAACACAGTTTCCATCTCCCTTCACGTCACTGCTAATTAAAGCCCGCGGGTGACATTAGAGCCTTCCTATTTGTATCCTGGCTGAGGCGCCCCGCCCCCCCCAGCCTGAGACTCCAGGGAGATCTGATAGTGTTCAACCTCTGAACAGTGCTAAATAGTACGTGAAAAACAGACTGAACACATATTCAATGGGTCAGAAAATCCTGAAAAGAATCAGTTCACGTTTTGCAAACTGATGTTACCAAGAGGGCCCTGTCCAGGCTCTGCTGCCATTACCTTCCTGGTCCTCCCAGGCCGCTCCTCCTTCCCCTGGAGCCTGTCACTTTGTCCTGGGCCACAGTCCAGTGCGTGCCTTGCACTGCGGGAGGGAGAGGACGCCCAACACCGGCACCGGCTGAGAAAGGAGCTGGGCTCGCGTCAGGCCCTCACGGCAGGCCCAGAACCCCGGCAGGACTCTCCCCAGCTGCCCAGCCTGGTAGGTTAGCACACAGGGGACCGAGAGCCTCCTGTCCCCACACGAGAGGACATTTTTAGGACGGAGAGCTTTCAGTTTTGAGCTGCCAGACCTAACAGGGAAAATGCACACGCCCCAGGAGACGGTGGGCCAGGAATGCCACCAT